GTGGATGACGTGGAAACCAAATGGATAAATTATACCAACACCACCATGGAAGCTCACCACCACTTCTTCCCCGAGAAGTCCGTCAGATCTCACCCAGCTGACTTGCCCTGGATCACACCTCGGATCAAAAGACTTATGCAACAGAGAGACAGAGCCTTTCATCTCAATGACCACATCCGCTACAGGTCCCTTCGCAACCGAGTCATCCGCGAAATACGCACTGCAAAGAAGTCCCACTACCCAACCAAATTACAACACCTGAAGCAGACCAACATCAGTCAATGGTATGGTAAGCTTAAAGAACTCTGTGGACTAAACAATAAGACACACCTCCTCCCCTTCCTTAGCCATCTCACTAATGTTGACGCAGCTGAGCAATCAAATAACCATTTCGCTACTATATGCCAGACGCTTCCCCGGCTTGACACAACCACTCTCCCTGCTTACCTACCAGCCCCCCCCTTCCCACTGACTTAGAAGAATAATTTGAAGTAGCAAAACGCCTGGACAAACTAAAATTAAAACGCTCCACCACCCCCATTGACTTACCAATGAAACTCTTCAAGGAGTTCTCCCCGGAGCTTGCTAAACCCCTATGCTCCATCATCAATGCTTCTCTCAGTCAAGCCAGATGCCCAGCTGACTGGAAGACCTCTTATGTATCACCAGTGCCCAAGTCAACCAGCCCACAATCATTAAATCAGCTACGACCTATTGCAATCACCCCAATACCCAGCCTAATCTGTGAAAGTTTTGTATTCGACTGGGCTTATGCTGATATTGCAGGAGTCGTAGACCCTCAGCAATTTGGCAATATGAAAACTTCCTCCACCACTCACTGTCTTGTCAGCTTTCTCGATTACATATACCGCCATCTCGAGAAACGAAAAACGTCTGTAGCTGTCGCTTTCATTGATTTCACTAAAGCATTCGACCTAGTCGACCACAATATAATCATCAACAAAGCTATTGACCTCGGGCTTCGGAGAAGTCTTATACCATGGCTTACAGACTTCCTCAGTGACTGACGCCAAGCTGTACGCTTCCGAGGGGCTGTCTCCACCTTTCAGTCACTCACCTGTGGCGTCCCCCAAGGCACCAAGATGGGACCACTCTGCTTCCTTATGCTCATCAATGATGCCCTAAGAGAAACCCCTGCTCGCTGGAAATATGTCAACGACTCCACCATTGGGATCAGCGTCAACAATTCTGCTCCCGATATACCGCCCTTCAGGATTTATTGAACAGTCTCCAAAACTGGGCCACCAACAACCATGTCACCATCAACCATACCAAGACCATGGTTATGCACATCAACCTCTCCTCCGACATTGTCCCACCTCCTTCCATTACTTTAGGTCCGAACACACTCCAGGTTGTAGATTCCACGAAGCTCCTCGGCGTCACCATAGACAACAAACTAAATTGGAAACCACACGTCAGTGAAGTTGTCAAATCCTCCAGTTTCCGTCTCCACCTCCTCCGCCGACTCAAGTCCCTCGGAGTTCCTGCACCCGAGCTCCTCAGTGTTTACACAACATTCATACTTCCCAAGCTCACCTATGCCTCCCCTACCTGGTCTTCCTCCCTAAATGCCACACAACGTAAACACCTAGAAAAAGTGCAAAAGAGGGCATGCAAGATTATTCTCTCCCCTTCCTACTCCACATATCAAGAAGAGCTCAACACACTGACCCTTTCGACTCTCACTGACCATCACCACGACCTCATCTGCAAATTTGGTAAGAAGCTTCTACACCATCCTCGACACCGGCTCCTACTACCACCTGAGATCCCTAGCCCGAGAATTGCTGTTCGACACCACAACCGCATCCAGCCCATACGTGCACGAACTGATCGCTATAAGAACAGCCCAGTCCCAACCATTGTAAAAATTATCAATAACTTGTAATAAACCAGTGTATTCACTCCCAGTAAATACTACTTCTTGCACTGTCACTATGTTGAAATGCACTGCAGTTTGAGCTTTTCCCCATCAAGTTATTATATATCTTATTTGTATCACTTATGTTACTTGTATATTATTTGTAATTCGAAACCCATTCCCCAAATATGTAACTGTATATTTTCAGCCAAGCTCTTTCAATAAACCGTTAATTATTATTATTATTATTATTATTATTATTATTATTATTATTATTATACTGGCCAGATACTATGTAAATAATATTGATAATATGTTAAAGGAATATCCTTCCTCCCTTAGGCTTTAGTAAGCCCCTTTATAATATTTATAGTGTACATACTTGTGACACTTGCCAGATGCTTCTGGTGTTATTGTACAGGGGTACCGAGTGACAGCACTAGGATCCCGCTTCCTCTTTCAAGGAATATACCATTGAAATTGAATTGACTGAGGGGCTGCACAGCTGCATTGTTGCCATTTTAATGAGTCCTATCCTGATTTATTGTTAGTTTCACATGTGTCCCCCCAGCGGTCTTGTAATATTTAAATATAACACATTACTGTATACGCTGAACAGTCACATGATATCAAATAATCCCTTAACTGATAATGACAGTATAACGGCTATAACCGATAATTATGGAACAGACGCCTCGAGAAAATTGTTGTTATTATCGCCACATACATTTGTGCTGGGCTGTGGCAATGTTGTTTATCACTTCAATATAATGTTTTAATTTGTTTTATATTATTATATACAAATTGGTAAACTAAGTGTTATTATCAGTGAAAAAATCGATTCGAAATACATTTTTTTATCAGTTCATCCCCTTTCTCTGCCACACTACCAAGTGAAAACTCCACTTCAGCATGCAATGCTAACTACAATTGCTGAATTATATAGCTAGTGCATCATAAGCAAGGTGCATGCCCAGCACTTGCCAACAGTGCGTAACTGACGTGACCGACCGCCCAAACAGCTAACGAGTCGATCAATGGCGAAAAGGATAAAAAAAGCAAACAAAACACTGAATTTATTCATACATAATTCGGATTGATGGTAATGGACACCAGACAAATTTAGTGTAAATGCCATCTTTATAATAATAAAGATTGCTATATATGGTCTTACTGGCATCCTACAATAGAAATGACGTGTTGTACATGTTCTTGAAAATGCCACTTACCTCTTCATGGTTAATGGGGAGCCCTTTCCGATTGTCAACAGTATGAGATCTGACAATCTATCCTACATGCAGGGGCTGCCATAAAAATCTAATTTTCGAGGAGCGCTCCACGGTGGCTCTCAACACAGAAAATGAACCTACTAGAAGCTGTTACAGTCCTTATGATATTGTTAACCTTAAATATTGTATGGGCTTGAGCACAATAAGCATAATTATTAAAAAGAAAAAAAGAGAGAGAGAAAAGGACACTAATACTTCTTATAGTTAATAAAAGAAGGGGCCGTGGCAACTGCCTCCCCCTCCCCCCCTCCACTTGTACGCGGGCTTCTGCTTGTTATTCAACAACGAAAGTCTTTGCATATACTGTACAACACAATTCGTTTGAAAACTAAAAAATAAAAATAAAAAAATAAAAACTGAGGAAGATAAATACTATTTCAACAATGAAATGGATTTGTTTACACTTGTCCTGCCACAAGGCGTCGTATCCTAAAGTACATTTCCCAACTTAATTTCAAACCGAATTCAATGACGCCCATGCATGCCACAAAAAATTTATTACAGGATAAGGTTTGATTTTTTAGTACACAATGCAATTATCACCGTGTTTAAAAATTGCATGCGAAGCTTCAAGAAAGAAGAATTCTCGTAAAAAGCTATTATCTTTTTCTTATTTTTTAACTTGTGTCGTAGAAAATGAAGAATCTTTAGTCAACATTTAAGGAGCATTGCTTAACAACAGAGGCAAGTAACCAAGCATCCGAACACATCACAAGGACACGACACCCAAACACACAGCTGCTGATTCATTGTTCTTCTCCTATCTCTCTCAAGGACTTAAGATTACTTGGCTAAATATTAACCGCCTCCTTGACTCGTGACTTCTTATTTACAGTAGACGCATTATATCCACTGAAATACAATGTTTACATCCCTATACTGTATTCAACAGTTATGTAATCGTATTATCAAAGGTTAGTAAAAGATCAAAATAATGTACTCGTGACAAGTGATTTGAGGACGCAATCAAGTGTTCTATTTTAAGCTGTGATTCAAGGATGTTTGACTTACTCAAGGTCAATGGCAAGTCTCATGCAGTTAGGACAGTCAGTGTTGGAAAAGTGCCACAACGAAAATGCTAAACCATTAATTTAAAAATAGGCGGCAAGAACCTAACCTAATGATCCTTGGGTGATGGAAATTAAGCTTGGTTTGTAAATTAATGTTGTCTAACACTAAATAACTTAGCGGTTCTGTAAATTATCACAACTATTGTTCATTCTTACAAAATTTATTTGTCACAAAATATCGTGATAATAGAGAAATACCAAAAGCTGGGTACATGAGAATTAATCATATTAGTTCGTTAATTTATTTCTGATCCGTATCTCCCTTGTTTCTCTCACTTATTCCTAATGCTCTTCAGCATAGTGAATACACAGAGAAAGAAACGAATAAGTTAAGTAAACTAAGTAAGAAAAAACTGTATTCTCGGAATAAGTCACGAACCATGGTGACACCACCTCTCACATGAACTAGACGCGTCGTGAGCATGAAACTTTTTAGCTGTGGTTGCCCTTTATAAGTTAGATTGCATGTCCTTCTTGAATTTTAAATCCGTACTCGGATATACATGTGAACTCTCACTCATAGTACAACATAAATTATTGTAGAATAAAAGCATAAGAAATCAACTGGGTTTTTTTATCAGAAAGGAAACTTCGTTGTGTCATTTTTGTTCTAACCGGGAAAAATTGGAAACTGTGACAGATTAATGTATACACCTAAAGTCATTAGGTTTGAAATATTTAGAGAGAGGGCCTAAAGATATAGAAAATAAGATCCCACAACCCACACTAGTCTGGAGCGATCATTTGGTGGCTGTCGGTTGATAACTTGGATAAGTCGCCAGTAGATAACCTGCCTTCTTGACGGACGGGCACAACTTCCTCAAGTTGCTGTCTGACTCTTGCACAACTCTTCAGTCTTCATTGCTTGCTAGCCCCTGTAGTGTCAACACGCACGCTCATTGCCGAAGTAAGTTGTCTGAATTGATAGTAATGTATATGTCTGGTAAAGGTATGTTTTCTGGAAGAACTTTGTGCTTGTATACTTATCAAAATTTAGGGAGACCAGAATAGTTCAATTGTGAAACCCCGATTTTTTACGCTTATAAGGACCACGTGTCCAAGGAGCTGAGAGATGTGGAGGAAACGAGCAAACGTGATCTTAGTGACTTTATTCATGTATGACCTGTAACACTGACTAATTACGACCAATTCTTATTGACAATATGAGATTTAATCATGAGAATAAGGTAATACAACAAATGAATGCAGTGGTTTTTAGTGGGATGCTTAAAAGGTTTTCACATCAGATTGCGTTTCTACTTGCCTGTAGTGTTATATGGCTCTGAATAATGTCGGGCTTGTGGTGATATAATGTCTCAGGTAGCCCCTTAAAACAGCGATAAATTACTGTCTACTAAAACCATCACAGTGGGTTTCTAACAATCATTACTACAGGTACATTATATCGAATGCCAGCAGCCAATTTAGCTTTTGCATTTACATTAAGTTGATCCTACCTCACAACATATTTGAATTAATTGTTTTTATTATATATCACCATGTAAGTCAAATTACAAAAGGCAGGCAACACATAGATTAAAGAAAACCTGGCCTCACTTTACTTTATTTAACCGATGGTCGAGGCTGATCATGTGTAATCATAATTATGAAGTAAACAATAAATGCGCCCCCAACAAACAGAACTTTTTCCGTCTTTTTTTGCAGCAATTTGCTCGATGTAAACAAACATATCAGGTGTATTTACGAATATAAACTAATAATACAATTATTATTAAAAATGCCATATTAAATAAAATTAAAAATAAAAGCACTACGAACATTGACTCAAGCCAACAATGGGGCGAGACGCTCTAGAAAATTTGACAACTCGCGCTTGTGTGACGTCTCCTTAGTAATTGAAATAACTCCAAATCTAAATTACCGCCCAAATCTTAATGCAGTAACGGTGGATGAGACGGTTATCACCAGAAGAATCTTAAGGAATTGCACCAAAATTTCTGGAGATGTTACGAGCATGACACTAAATAAGAAAATTAAAACGACAATGTACTTAACCTAATAGGACCTGAGAAACTTACCTTTGGTAGGTCGAGTGTAGCTGTGGCAGCTGACTGTTACACTTAAACAAGTATTTTTCCTGTCACAGTTTTAGATACTTGCACATCCATCCTTCTAATAAGTCCATAACACGGTTTTGAACCTGAACAAGCACAGATAACTTCCCATAACAAATGGAAAATAACACCATAATTCCAATTATTGTTTTCCATGAAAGTCCCAATAATTGGAAACAGGAAGGTGAACTCCAAGTCTATTGAATTGAAAACAAAAGACAATCAAGCTATATTTACAGTATGTTTCTTTTACTGTTACGCACTGTTGGCAAGTACTGGGCATGCACTGGCTCCTGAATGAATCTGAACCTGCTCCAGTGCTGGTCATGTTTCTTGAAAAAGCTCACACTCAGTGCCTTCACATTCACAAGTCACAACACTCACTGACATTGGCAGATTGGTCGACGAGTTCACAGCTTACTTTTTAACGAGTCCGGATTCGCAAATTTATAGTTTAGAACAACTGATGCCACTGGAGAATAAATTACAGACGTGAAATTATTAACATGGTTTCAGTTTTTCGCCGCGTTTTATCGTGTAATTTCCCCTTTATTACTATGATGATAACGTCTCCACTTTTAAGGACTTTGCACTGAACCCAAAATCGAGGAATATTCCTTGCATGCAATATGGCAATGAATTAATAAGTTTACCCAATGCAAGGAGACTCATCCACCATCATTATCCTTTAAAAATTTCATTATACAGGTATATATATATATATATATATATATATATATATATATATATATATATATATATATATATATATATATATATATATATATATATATATATATATAGTTGCCAATACCTACTGGAGTCTTATATAGGGAGAGGGAAAACTAAAAATAATTTATTCTATTGTTTCTATAGGAAATTTATTTATTTTTTTATTTTTTAACTTATGAAATTGACCACAATATTAGTTGTTCAAAGTGGACAGGGTTTTGAAGTTAAGGGGAAATGTTGGGTAAAATACTAAAAAGAAGACCACTTACCAAACGAATAAATAAAAAAAATATAAATAAAATTGCACCATGATGCTTCAATAAAGTTGCTTTCATTGGTATCAGATAACAAAAGAAGTATATAGTTCTGTTTAGTATGGTGAGGAATCCCCCCCCCCCACCCCCCCGGCTAAGAAGTTAGATAAGGTGAGGTAGTTTTCTATGGTTGGTTAAGTCAGGTTCTATTAGGTTCTAATAAATGTTGCCTCTTTTACAATACTTACTATAATGAAAAGAACATCTTTGGAAAAATAATGAAATCAAACCACTCCTTCTAGTAGCAGTGCTGTTCTCAGACAATACCATAACTAGTAGTGAAGACTAAATTTCACATTGCTAGGGCTCCAGTTTATGACATGTAAGGTTGTTAAAGTACAGTAATGAGGTTGCTGTGATTTGTGCTTGGTTGACCCAGCCTTCAGCCTCCAAGCATATTCACCTATGACCTGGATGTCGATCACTCCCCTCCCTTGGAGGTCCTGTGAAGAATATTCAGGAACCTTGATAAGACTGGGAATCTTTGTTGGTAGATTTGTGTAGGTTACCACCCACTGAATCTCTAGAATTTTATCTTTGCAATCAATAGTTCAGACAATTCTAAGACACTTTTCTTCTATGAAATTTCCATCACACATGGGCTGAAAATTATCTAACCTAACCTCCTAACCAGGGGGTTCTGCCCCCCTGGATCCCCCAGCATATAAAAGTCTTTTGCGAGAGAAATGTCATAGAAATAACCAATACATCATGGCCTCATTATCGGTACCCTGTAGTGTATACAGCGTAACATGGTCTATGCACTTACAGGAAGCAACATTGGACAACATGGCTCCAGCACAGCTTCTCCTGGTACTGGCAGCTAGCACACTGATCCTCGTGGGTAAGCAAATAGTTTTTTAATGGTTGTCCATTTCCAATATAGGAATACGAAGACATGTATTGCACATGTTCACCTGTATCTCCACTCTCATTCTCTCTGCTTATTAATAATGTAAAGTTGATAAAATGTGATACAATATTCATCATCTCATATTTGTTAATGAGAGCTGTGAAAGTTAATATTACATTTAATTGTTCTATATCTCATGCATTTGAACGGTAACTCACTAGTCCACTAATCACCACCCCATTTACAAATGGTTGTTCATTCATAAAAAAAAATCCTAATGATTAATTTACTTTAAAGGAGTTGCCATTTATCATTATTTCTGATTGCAACTGTACATGTGCCAAGATGGTTCAGCTCAGGTGACTCGTACCATCCTTTCTTTAAGGTCAGAGGATACAGTACTTGACATCCAGATAACTCTTGTGGGGAAGCAAACAGTATTATTCCTTTTATATTCATCCCTCTGTTTTTCTGTCTGCACAAAATGTAATTACTGTACCTCAATAAGTAGTGAAAGAATTCATGGATGAAATGGATTTTGGTATGTCTAGTTTTGTATCATTCATGTCTAAGCTGAGACAATTATTCAGTGATTTTCTGTTCTTGTCACCGTCAGAGTGCAGTTTATCTTTAATTTATTTTGCCTTCAATCCAAAGTTCGTGGGGATATAATAGTGGTGGTGTCTTTCTGTCTTTATCCATCATTGACAAATTTGGTTTTCCCCAAACTTTACCTAAACTCATTAGATTTATTTCGTTTTGGTTTGGAAGAATTTTATGACAAGTTATAGCTTAGGGGTATTGTCTTGCATGGGGGGAGCAGTCATAACTGAGAGGTCTTTTCTGTATACTCATCATTTTCATGTTAAACTAATTATGCTTCATATTCAACATATGCAACCATACATAATGATAACACAAAAAAGTAACAAAATATCTTATGAAATAAACAGAACTTCTATTACTGTACTGTAATTCATAAACAAAAAATACAGTAGAGATCATTAACAATTCCCCTCACACTGAGAATACAGCATACAGTACTTAGTAATTAATGTGAGAGTACAGTACAGTATGTTCTTTACAGCCTTATTCATTTTGAGTGTTAGGCCTTACTCTTTTTGTCACCTCAGCAAATTTACAAACACTGTAATGAATTTATATATCTGTATCCTGGCCTGCTGCAGATGAAGTAGCAGCTGGCTGCCAGTCATCCAATCAGATCGAGTGCAGGACTGGTGGACAATGCATTGATCAAAATCGTGTGTGCAGGTCTGGCAATCAATGTTCTGATGGTTCAGATGAAGACCCAAAAATATGTAAGGTAAGATACAGTAATCCTGACCCAGTTATATGTACACAAGAATTTGTGGGGTAAAACAAACATTTCTGACTACAGGTATAAGCAAAACCTTAGAGCCAGACAGGCGAAGGTACAGGGAGAGGATGTTTTAAAAAGAGTCCAAGTGGTGTAAAATTAAATTAAAGGGAGGGGACTTACTTATCGTCGAGTGTATCTACAGATCCCCAAACTGTGGCCCACTAAATTAAAGGAACTTCAGAGCTTTAATAGACAACGTGGTGATGCTTAACCCTAGCCACCTCCTTATCATGGGGGACTTTAACTATGGCGACATCGACTGGAGAAACGAGTTCACCCCAAATGACTTGGAATAACCCTGCTACTCTTTTTGTAGAAACCCTGAGAGATAATTTTCTGTTCCAACATGTTAGAGACCCGACACATTACAGAGGGGGAGCAAACACCCAAGCCACTAGACCTCATCATGACAAACGAGGAGGGTATGGTGTCGAAACTGGAACACCTTGCCCCAGTTGGCACCAGTCACCATATAGTGTTGTCATTCAGATTTAACTGTTACCTAGTTCAAGATAAGGCCAGGTCAAGGTGCAAATATTACAAGGGAAATTACAACGGGATGAGGGGTATCAACTGGCCTGACTCATTAAGGCACAAGAATGCAGACACTACGCTGAATATCATAACTAAGTGACCCATTTGATCGATAAATATATACCCAAGACCAAACCCAGTGCCTCTAGGAATACGAGGGGATCCCTACACATAAACCATGTGGTGGTCGACAAAGTTAAGAAAACCCAGAAATTCAAGATGTGGGTTGGGTCAAACGATGAGCAGGACAGGAGGATGTATACAAGAGCCAGAAACCAAGCAAAAATAGAGTGTAGAAGGGCTGAAAAGGAGTTCCAGAGGCTGGTTGCAAGCGAGGTCAAGTCAAACCCAAAGGCGTTTTACCGCTATGCAAAATCGAAATTAAAAACGCGAGTAGGAGTATCAGACCTGAGGCTTGAAGAGGGTAGTTACGCAGATTCTGACCAGGATAAAACCGAGGTATTGAACAGCTTCTTTTTCTCGGTGGAGAAGAGGATAAAAGTAAAAGTAACAAGAGAGGATGCGATTAACCTTCCTGTGTTTGAGGACAGACGGTTCGACACAGCACTGACCCACATTGTGTTCACAGAAGAGGGTATTAGAAATAAGCTGTCAAAGCTAAAGGTCCATAAGAGTCCCGGCCCGGACATGGTGCATCTCAGAGTGCTAAGAGAGCTGTGCAACGAGCTTGCCGAGCCCCTGAAGACCCTGTTTTGTAAATGCCTGGATGAACAAAAGATCCCCAGTGAATGGAAAGTGGCTTATGCGAGTCCTATCTTCAAGAAGGGCGATCGTCACTCCACGAACAACTACTTGTATAGACCTGTGAGCCTGACCAGCATAATATGTAAAGTACTTGAGAGTATTATCAAAGATGCCGCGATGGAACATCTACTACGAAACAAGGATTGCCAACACGGTTTTATGCCGGGGCGCTCCTGCTCAACACAATTGCTCAAGGTATTGGATATTTGGACCCATATTCTGGAAGGGATGGTAATATCGACAATATATACCTAGATTTTGCCAAGGCTTTTGACAGTGTACCCCACGAAAGACTGAAAATCAAACTGGAAGGGTACGGAATTAGGGAAATGTCCTAGCTTGGATAGAAAACTTTCTACATGACCGCAAGCAGTGTGTGGCGATTAATGGCAAGAAATCATCATCTGTACCTGTCACAAGCGGGGTACCACAGGGCAGTGTATTGGGCCCGCTGTTGTTTGTTTGTTTCATAAATGACATGCCTGACGTTGTACACTCCTCCATACAAATGTTTGCCGATGATGCCAAGATATTTCGGGAAATCAAGAACCATGTGGACTGTGAAGAGCTGCAGAAGGATCTCTGTGAACTAAAAGAATGGTCGAAGAAATGGCTACTGAGATTCAATGTCACGAAGTGTAAGAGGATGCACCTGGGGCGTACCAACGGTAAGGAGGCGTATCATTATGTCCCAACGGGATGAAGAAACTGCACTATTTGAGACTGAATGTGAGAAGGACCTAGGTGTGTATGTTGACAATGAGCTGAAGTTCTCGGGCCATTGCGAGAAGAAGGTAAATCAGGCAAATAAATTATTGGGTCTTATAAGAAGGTCGTTCAGATATCTAGACGGTCCGTCCCTCGTAACGATCTTCAAGAGTGAAGTGCTTCTCCATCTGGAGTACTGTCACCCCGTCTGGTTCCCGAGATATGCTAGGGACTGTCAGTTGGTTGAAAATGTTCAAAGGAGGGCCACCAGACTGGTGCCTGCACTTAGGCACCTCAACTACCCTGAGAAATTGGAGCGCCTGAACTTGCCTAGCTTATACTGCAGACGGGCAAGGGGCGACCTTATTGAGGTGTATAAACATCTCAAGGGCACTACTCAGTCGAGTGTCCTTATTTGGAGCTGGCGGATGCTCGCCCCACATGGGGTCACAGTTCAAGATTGAAGAAGCCGCAGGTCCAGAAAACTGCGAGGGCAAACTTTTTCGGAGTGAGAGTTGTGAACGCTTGGAACAATCTACCAGAGAGTGTTGTGACGGCACCGAGTGTGAGCTCTTTCAAGACCAGACTTCACCAATACTGGAGCAGATTCAGGTACATTCAGGAACTGTTGCATGCCCAGTACTTGCCAACAGTGCGTAACAGAGATGTGACCGATCGCCCAAGCGGCTAACGAGCCGATCAGTGGTGAAGAGGATAAGTTAAAAAGTATACCCTATAGCCAGGGGTGGCACCACAGTTGCACCAACAGGGGGGAGGGGAGGGGGGCTGCCCTGATGGGGGGACTACACCAGATGAATGGTTCATCAGTGGACACATACAATAAATGAACCTGACATATACTGATCACATGCATTACTGAGAATTTTTTTAATACCGGTATGTGTGTGTGTATGTAGATTATACAGTACTCCACCATCTTAGTCTTAAAATCTTTTGTGGTTACTCTTTACTCCAGAGGTGATGCTTACAGACAACTCCATATAGTATTTAAAGAAATTTAGAAAGCCAAAGAAATTATTATAAAAGAGAACTGTAAGGAAGTTGAAGATGGTGACAGGAGACATAACTACCCTGTACTGTACCAGGAATTAAAGTACAGTACTGTACATATACTAAATGATAAAAGAAACTTACTATAAAAAATGATATAAGGGGTAGGACTATGAAGAATAAAGATGACAAAATCATATTTGATGCAGAAAAGATAAAGGTGAGGTAGGCTGAGTATGTAGAAGTACTGTACAATGATAATGATAAGAGTAGAAGTAGGAAATGAAAAGGAAATAAGATCAACCAAGTTGGAAAAAAAGGTTGTTAAATCTGTGAACAAAGAGAAAATTTTTAAGAATTTATCAGTTTCCAGCAGAATTTTTAAAAGAATTGGGTTGAAATGGGATTTTTAGCTTAAGATACATAGATATTTACTTGACATTAAACCTTCTGGTCACATGTGTGCACTAGTATTTCAAATATTATGTGGATATACTGGCTAATAGCTGTCAGTGACCAAAAATATGCAGTAACTGTACTGTAATGTAATTCAAATTTGTGAAATTTGAATGTAGATGGATTCAGTGTGCTGTACTGTATACCAAAGTCTGTAATCTTTAACATCTTTTTATTACAATTAATATGTAATTCTATTACAGTTCTGGACAAATGAAGATTCCAGATGTGGAGTGTCAAATTTTTATTGCAGCGGAAGCTGTTACCAAATTTACCAAATGTGTGCTAGTGCTCAATGTTCTCAACAGATGGACCCACGAGTATGCAAGGTAAGGCTCTGAGGATAGGAACTGGTAGCTCACTTTGATTTTAATATATATATATATATATATATATATATATATATATATATATATATATATATATATATATATATATATATATATATATATATATATATATATATATATATATATATATATATATATATATATATATATATATAACCGGTCGGAATTTACTGGACTTTAATTTCTCACTTGACTTGGGGTTTATTAAAGATTGTTAGATGGTAATGGCAGTGGAAGCGCCCCTTTGAGAAAAATCCGAACTAGCACAAGAACACTTAAATCTACTAAACAAAATGAATTGTCCGTGACCCGTGGAAGGATAGCGTCTGTGACTGGGATGAATGAGACACACTGTAAAATTTAGACACTTATATTCCCTCCAACACTACAAACACAATCAAATAATGGTACACCAATATGCGCACCTCTTAACTTGAACTTAAAACACTACTCTGGGGAATAAAAGTTATACATGATATAGAAATTATTAGAAACTCAGGCAACAATAAATTTGAAGTATTAAGAAATGTTGCTTGCACACATGAAACAGGCCTTAAGGGCTTTCAACAAAATAATATCCAGCACTGAGAAAATGGTATTCAAAAATAAGAAATTAATAACTCTACAATGAATAGGCCTTAAGGGCACTCAACAAAATTATATCACCCCAACAGATGCACACTTCCTAACCTAACTTAACCACTACTCTGGGGAACAAAGGTTATACCTGAGATCGGAATTATGAAGAAAAATTAGATGCATTAAAAGAATCAAATCACAGTATCACTCTGGTTCCACTTAGTGACACAAACATTCAAAAAACAATACTATCAAAATTGTTTAAGAAATATTAAACTACACACCTTCAAGATAATATCAGTAACTGAGAAATGGTATTAACTACACCCAAATATATTGTCACTATTATTGGTTTGTTACTGGGTCCACCAATACCCGTGAACCATGCTTCCTAACCTAACACACACACAGATTCCACCTGCTCTCCGTAGTCGTTTAAGGCACAACCAACAGGCACCCGTAGTTTAAGGCCCAAATCAGCCTTTCTCAACCTTGGAAAGTGTACCTCTAACTCCACTGACTCTTGGCCCCAGTGTGCGGCCCTGTATCACTCAGCTGGCCTCACTTTACCCCCCAGTACATCCATGAAATGGTAGGGAGTGAGCCAATCAGACCTTGTACAGTTGAGAGAAGCTTTAGCTTCCCGTTAGCAAGAGGGTTTCACTAAGCTGCTCGAGACATGTGGTGTTGTGAGCCGAGGTAGAGGAGAGCTGATGACCCCAACGATCGTCCCGTCGTCAGCTGGGCACCCAGACGGCTAGATTCCCTCAAGAGATCCTTTGATACCCCGCTAAACAGTGACAGGCCTACACTGATCGGTCCAATGGCGACAATCGCCACCCTCAATCATCAACGGCAGTCTCAAACGGCAGTCAATCTCTCGCGGTCATCACTCTCGCAGTCAATTTCTCGCAGTCAAGTGGGTTCTGACGGAAACCCTGAAATGAACTCACTGTTAGCTCTTGTTAACTTTACCACTGCCCTATCTAACCCTGTCTGAGATCGAATGAGACTTACTTGTTATACTGCAATAGTGCAACACAGGTGACTAGGCCACGTGACTATTTCTGTGGACGGACGCGCAGGGATGTCCTGTAGGTCCAATCGCTTTCACGTGACTGAGGACCAGCCAGCGTCGCGTCTCTCCAAGGCGCTAGCTTAGGCCTACGTGACATATTTTCCGCCTAACTAATAACTCCTTGGGACACCCGTAACATTATTCAGACTGATAAACGATCTATAATAATTTCAAATTCAATAATAGTCCCTTAACTTCATGAATCGCATCATTATTAATTCGGCAAATTACATTTAATATCATATAGGCCTAGTTCCACAACCTCCCACTATGTGCGGGGAGCGCTCTCTTCCCTCAGACGACCTTGAAAGCTCAGTATCGCCAATGGCGGGGCATTTGAAATTTCTGACATATATATATATATATATATATATATATATATATATATATATATATATATATATATATATATATATATATATATATATATATATATATATATATATATATATATATATATATATATATATATATATATATATATATATATATATATATATATATATATATATATATACACACACACACAGTAGTACCCCGATTTATGCGGTCAATTGAACCCATTGGGTACCGCGGAAAGTGAAAACCGTGTAAAGTGAACAACAGAATATATGGGATTAATTCCAATAGAGACTGGCCCGACCCCCAAACTCCACTTTTTCAGTCACAATACCTACGTTGTAGTAAAAATAACATCTTAATTTTATGATGGTATGCACACACAATTAATAATTAAGAGAAATATCAATATTATTAGGTTTTTTAATACTTACATTAGTAGAAAAGATGGCTGGGCACACTGGGATGGGGGGTTGGTTCCGAGGCAGAGGGCAGATTATTGGCCCTCACCTGTATCACTTGTATCAATTGTATCACTATCCACCACATAGGCTTGCAGGGCCTCTTTGTCCATATCCATATCCTCACTATCACTGACTTGGGCCGGCTGTGGTGGGTGGCAGGTGAAGAACTCGGTAATGTTTTGATGACTGGGCAACCTTGTGCGCATCCTGCCCGCGCCGCTTCCCGCGTATATGAGTAGGTGCACCGCGTAAAGTGAAAGTCCGGTTTTGGCGAGGTACCGCGTAAATGCGAAATCGCGGAAAGTGAAACCGCGTAAAGCAGGGTATTACTGTATAATAATTTATTTTTATTTTTTTTAGCAACGTGAACCTCCATCAGGGATTACCTGTGCCAACTATGTGGTCATAGAAGCATTTTACCGATTCTAGCTAGGAAACACAAGACTACATATATATCTCAACAGTCCACGTACACATGGACTTGCATATACATGTACTGTACAAACACTACTTCACTTGTTGGGAATCAAACCATGGACCTCTGCATGATCCAAGAGTAAATGTAAAAAGTATGTAGCTGGTAACAGTTAGACTTGTGTAAAACTGAAAATAACTGTACGGTATATATGAATTTTTTCTTGAATGTAGCCCCAATCTTTTGCCACCCCCCACTGTATTTATAATGATAATTGATACCCATATGAGATTTGTCATCTGTTGACTGTCAGTCCTAGTACTTCATGAGAATTAAGCATCTAAGCAAATGGATTGGTTTTGTAGTACCCGGTATTCATCAAGATCCACTTGTTCTGCACCACCAAAGACATCAAAACAGACATAACAAAGATGATTAGCTATTAAATATTCTAATGCATTTGTTTCATACTTTTTGATGTGCAAAATTCTAGACATTTGATATGTGTACTTTATTACTAATGGTAATTTATGTGTTTGTACTCTCACAGCTGGTCAAGACTGGAAAACTCTACCTAGAACCAGAGGGCATGAATCTGAGTAAGTGGGTTGAAAATTTTGTATATGTTAGTTACAATGTGTTTAGTCAGTCATAAAAGAGATAAACCAGGAAATGTCATTGTTTTTATAGTTCAACTTTAAGACAAAATTCATTGATACCTCCTTATTTCCTTGCATCATTGACCAACCATAAAGTGTTGTTATTTTTTTTTCCATTGATCTTGACCTCTCCCCTATGTTGTGACCTTATCCTCTAAACCATTCAAAATCTTCATTAGCCAGCAGTGTGATGCAGTTGCTGGAGACAGCTGTCAATAGCACCCTGGTCAAGAAGTTACCATACTGCCCCATGCTGTACACTCGTATTGGTGATGAATGTTTTGCTTTCTTCTCCCCTGCTAAGGTTTGTTTAATATAAGGCCAACCATCAGTAGAATAAATACAGTGGATTTTGGTTTTGGAGAAAGAATTGTGCATCATTAGAAATGTGAGTAGCTCAGTGGTAGAACATCCACCTAACAAGCAAAATGTTTTGGGGGCCAATTTCCAGTCAGGATGGATGAATTATTTTCTCCTTTTGCACTCAGCAATAAGATCACTTGTGTACATTATTGGGTTTTCTTGACAGTGGTTGACCACCCTTTTTGTAGATGAGCATCAAGCTAAATTAGTTAAGATAATATACAAGTCACTGATTGCTAAGAATTGGGAACAGCCCCTTTCACTGCAGGAAAAGGCTTGTACTGTGTACAGTACCCAAAAAAAATATGTATTTGTGGTCTAAGTAAAAAAGTGCTAAAACATCTTTCATTTTTCTTATTTTAGAAAATTTATCAAATATAAACACCATATTTTTATCTAAACTGTTGCCCCAAAAATCTTATTAATGAACTTTAGTCCCTTCTCTTAGGTCAAGGTCAAAGTTCTCACAATGAGCAAAGGTTTGTACTTTGAATAGTAAACTTCTAGTTACTGTTATTATTATTATAATATCCTTTAATTTTTGTGTGTAATGTTACTACTATAGCTTCTCCTCTACAGTTGCCTTGGGCTGAGTCAAGGCAGTTTTGCCAATCCATATATGGTGACCTTCTTTTCTTCAACAACTTGACAACATTTGATAACTTACTGGGTTATATGAGAAAGGCATGTAAGTAAAATTATGTGTAAGGTCCTTTACCCCATGATTAATTTACCTTTTTTTTTAAATTAAATAACCCCCCTTACGATATAAAATTTTCCATTTTTCAGATATTAAATTCCTTAGTTTAATTATAAAAGGAATATCACTGAGGTTGAGATTAGAGTCAAGGAAAGATTTCCATCATTTGGTTTATATAAGTTTCCAGATAGTCATTATACTGTATATACTAATTTTAATAATGATGTCTTCCTCTGTACAAGTGGTAGCAAGATAAATATGGATTAATTCAGACTGCCAGGCATAAAACGAAATACAGTAAGTCCTCGTATAACGTCGCCCCGCTTAACGTTGTTTTGGTACAACGTCGCTAATCTTTATGATACCAATAATTCATTTAACGTCCCAACGACGCGATATAACGTCGTTTTTGTCGTCACTGTTTTCCCATAAGAATGCATATAAATGGTACAGGTTAGGGTAATTGACTTGGCAGAATGTAACTTACATTGCTGGAATCCTTGTAAATTTGTGATTAATTTGAATATAAACATGCTATAGTTTGCACTAGACAAAAATTTTAGTACTGTAATTATTTAGTACATTTGAGTACAGTACAGGTTTGTCCTAAAGACAATATGTATCTAGGATGGTGTGTGCATGTAAATGAGTAAAAATAAATGAAGAAAGTTACTACATCTATGGAAAATAAGTTGAAAAACATGTACAGAACTTAAATGTACTTAAGGGACTAAAAATTTTGTCTCGTGCAAAATATGATGTCTATACAGAGTATTCATATTATTCGCTGTCTTGCAAGGATTCCAGCAATTCAATTTATATTCTGCTAACTTAAGTCTGTGCCATTTTATAAGATAAAATCTTAAAGCCTAAAACCACCTTCAATCTTGCCAGAAGTCGGAAGGGGCGGGGGAAGTGACTTGTTATGACAGTAGCAGGGAAGGTTTGAGAAGATTACCTAGTGTGTATTTATCAGTCATACAGAGGGAGTTTTATGCTTATAGAATGTCAATGAATGTGACTTTATAGTAATGCATACAAGCACCTCACCAAGCATCACACAAAGAGCTTTGAATTTATGTACAGTACAGTGATCCCCCGGTTAACGAGCGCCTCGGTTAACGAGATTTCGGTTAACGAGTTACCTTCCATAAGATTCTTAACTTCGGTTAACGAGCAATCCCTCGATTAACGAGTTTCTTACGAGCCGACCTCAACATGTTTTCGCTTGCATTTGGCGGTCCACCAGCTGTAGTATTAGTCCGCCAATACAGTAATCGGTTCTAGGGCTTAAATTCCTTACTATATTAGTAAATATCAAGAAGTTTATACTATTCAATAATTTTAAAAGTTTAATATTAAATCTTTTAGTCATTTTAACAATTATTGAACATAATTGAAGGTAAGGAAACTAGTTTCTGGCGCGCCATCCAGCCTGTCAACACACCAAACAGGCGCCAGTCTCTCTGTCTTTTCAGTGGAGGTAACATCTTGCTTGAGACTCTCTTCAACTAAATGCTTTTTTTCTGTGTTTCCAAGCAAATTATTGGTCATTTTGAAATTTATTTTACATATTGACAATATATAATGCAGTGCAGTGTTGATTTAAAGAAAATAATCTTGAATTACACCAAGAGAACTAAAATTTTATGGGTGAAATGATGCCATGGGGTAACTTCTCTTCCACCCTAATGCCTTCTCTTCTCCCTTCTCCTCCACCCCATTCTAATTCCCATCATCATCATCATCATCCAGGAGCTTTCTACATACACACCTCAAAGTAAGTGTACTTTTCTACCTTTTTTGTTGAATTTAGGCAATTTTCGGTGAGCTGGAACCAATTACCCAAAAACCCATTGAAACAATGGTTTCGGTTAACGAGTTTTTCGGTCAACGAGCAACCTGCTGGAACGGATTGTGCTCGTTAACCGAGGGACCACTGTATATGTAATGTATTTCATGGGGCAAAAGGAGGCTCAGGAACGTAACTCCCATATTTTATCTATTTCTTATGGGGAAAATGGATCTGCTTAACGTTGTTTCATATAACGTCGTGTTTTCAGGAACGTAACCCCGACGTTAAGCAAGGACTTATTGTACAGTCTTTGTCACAGAAAATTTTGGGGAGAACTCAGTTTCTTTGGTCCCTGAGTCAAATTCGTAAGACAAATTTAGTTGATGTTGACTTTGTGCTGTAGGTAACAGTTAGCAAACAAAGAATAATATGAATGTGAACTGTGATAACTTAAACCATAAGCTCACCCTGGGTTACTTCACCTGTCATATAATGCTTCGAATAAGACAGATGAAGTCTACCATTTATATTGCTCATAGATCGTGACCCTGTGTGCTCACATTCGTACAGATACTTAAAAGGGTTTGCTGTTAATGTGTATTGTGCTTCAGTGTTAACAACAGACTACTGGATTGGTGGACGGTACGACTTAGACACCAATGCCTGGTCATGGGTTAATGATGACACCCCTATGCCTCTGGGATCTCCATACTGGGCTGAAAGGTAAGTGGCTAGCTGTTTGAGGTTTGTGTGAGTTATGGGTCCACTCTGTGAATTATGGGCCCAATCTCTTGAGAGTTTGGACTCAGTGTCTATGAATTATAGGCCCAGTCTCTGTGAGAGAAGAGGTCCTGGTGGAGAGCTACATGAGGATGTGTATCAGAGTGAGTGGCTCTGAGTGAGTTAAAAGGTCATGTGTGAGAGCTAGTGGCCCCACTGAGTTAACATAAGAATGGAAGAAACTGCAGCAGGCCTATTGGCCCATACTAGGCCGCCCCGTTTACACCCAACCCCTATCGCTCATATATCCATCCAACCTATATTTGAAGCTACCCAGCATGTTAGAGTTAATTATGAAATTTTTGGTAACTTGTTCCACTCATCCATCACTCTATTCCGAAACCAATGTTTACCTATTTCACGCATAAATCTAAATTTGTCAAATTTAAAACCATTGCTATGAGTTTGCTCCTGGTTGGATAGCTTGAGTACCTTTGTTATATCACCTTTATTTAACCTTAACTTCCATTTATACACTTTGATCATATCACCCCTCACTCTATGTCTCTCGAGATATATTGGCCCCAACTGAGTTACCGGTAAGTGGTCCCATGTAAGAATTAAGTGGCTCTGGGTGTGAGTTAGTGGTCCTAGGTGAAATTTAGTGGCCTTTGGGGAGAGTTAGTGACCTGATGAAGAGTTCGTGACCTTTGGAAGAGTAAGCGATCCTGCATAAGAGTTAGTGGTCCTGGGTGAGATATGTGTGATCTTAGTATTTAGTTATTGTTGTATGTAGTATTTATATTTTTCCTACTTTCATGGGTGAACTCATCTCTGTACAGTATAGTATATACAGTATGTTGATTAATGCAAGGACAAACATGCCAAAACCAAGTTTTGAGAAAATGAGGTTTAAAGTTTGCCCATATTCAAAACATCACAGAACCTCCAAAAATTCATCATTTCTGTTCCATAAGGTCTCATTTAAAAGGCAATTTAATGCATAATATGATCCTTTTAATAAATGCTGTATGATTTTGGTGCACATTGACGTGACATAGATTTGTCCGTTTTCTTATTTTCCTTAAATTTCTTGGATGAAGACCACTTGTATCCAAAGCTTACACTTGAAATAATTAGTGGTTACCTGGTAAATAAATTTGTTGGTATAACAGGTTTTTAAATGCAAAAGGCTTTTTTTTTCTCTAACAGATGTAGTACATTATGATTTAATATGATGTAACTTCTTATGGTTAAATTTTAACTTGCCTCAACTGAATATTTTATAATACTGTCTGTAGTTAATATTGTTATTATTATTGACTGTAAAGATGTAAAGAAAAGGAATAAATTATAATAAGAAACTTATTTTCTTTTAGAGCATTTTATAACGGGATCCCCTTAACTGAAAGGCTAAAACATGGTGTGACATTCTTACAGGTACAGCAGCTCATGTGTTCCTCGATCACTACCTCACACGGACCCCTTCAGCTCCCCACCTGCAGCCCTGCCTGGTGCTCCGTGTTATAATTACCTCCAGGCACCCAAGGAACGCACTCAAGGATGGTAAGATTCCTGGATGGAAAATGGTAATAGAGCTGGACTCATTTTTCATTTTTTACGACTGTTTGATGAGAAATACTTCCACCACAATATCAAGATATGTTATTTCCATCTTTAATTCTAGATGGTTTTCCTTCGCTTTACCATCAGTTAAGATAACTTTCTTTCACTGTACCATTAGTATAATCTTATTCCCCAATACCAGTCATACAAGGTAACATTGTAGAAGTTGATAAGCTCAAGAGGCCGCCAGAGTGTTTAATCCATGATAAGCAATCATCACGATACACATTCCCGCAATAGTATATATTTTTACATAATTATACTGTATAAATTTTTCAAACTACAGGGTATTGAAAAATTTTCACAATGCGCAACATATTTTTGCTGATACATACCGGTAGTTTTCATGACCAGCAAATTTTAAAAGTCACCCAATAGCTACTTTGGCTCACACCACTCCACCGAGTAGAGCTCATGGTGCAGCTTTACCATCAGTTAAGATAACTTTCTTTCACTGTACCATTAGTATAATCTTATTCCCCAATACCAGTCATACAAGGTAACATTGTAGAAGTTGATAAGCTCAAGAGGCCGCCAGAGTGTTTAATCCATGATAAGCAATCATCACGATACACATTCCCGCTATAGTATATATTTTTACATAATTATACTGTATAAATTTTTCAAACTACAGGGTATTGAAAATTTTTCAAAATGCGCAACATATTTTTGCTGATACATACCGGTAGTTTTCATGACCAGCAAATTTTAAAAGTCACCCAATAGCTACTTTGGCTCACACCACTCCACCGAGTAGAGCTCATGGTGCAGCTGCTGTTTAATTTCTGAATTTACTGTTTGGTCCATTTTAATGTATTTATGGTGAGAATTCTTTTACCTATACCTGTACAACAGATGACCCTCGATATTTATAATTTCTGGTTCACAAATTTTTATTATTTGTGATTTAGTATAGCAATATCAACTCTCAATTCATGACCCCCAACCTCTAGCAATTGCACATTTTAATGGGGTTGAAATCCTGCATCTTAGAGACAAAATGGTTACCATAAAACATTAAAAATATACTGTAATCCATGAAATCATTCACATCTCATACCACTCTAAGATTTACAGTATTTAAAAAACCGAGAATGTTAAATTTTATTATTTATTATTCTATACAATATTGCACAATGGTAAATTTTCACTATCAGATTAACCTCCATGCTGTGTTCAATAAGTTTAATTCCATATTTTGAAATCAAATCAGTGAATATTAAAGAAAAACATCACTTAAATTTCAAAGTTCTATCACTTTTGTGTTTGTTAGAGATACAGTACAGTGACCCCTCGTTTAACGAACGCCTCGGTTAACGAACTGCCTTCCATAAGGATCTTCAATTCGGTTAACGAACAAAAATTCGGTTAACGAATTTCTTACGAACCGACCTCAACATGTTTTCGCTTGCACTGACCGGGCAACCAGCTTTAGTATCAGTCCGCCAATACATTAATCGGTTCTAGGGCTTAAATTCCTTACTATTTTAGTAAATATCAAGAAGTTTATACTATTCAATAATTTTAAAAGTTTAATATTCAATTTTTAGTCATTTTAACAATTATTGAACATAATTGAAGGTAAAGTGACTAGTTTAATGCGTGGCATCCAGCCTCTTAACACAGCAAACAGGCGTTAGTCTCTCTCTGTTTTCACTGGAGATAACATCTTGCTTGAGACTCTCTTCAACTAAACGCTTTTTTCTGTGTTTCCAAGCAAATTATTGGTCATTTTGAAATATATTTTACATATTGACAATATATAATGCAGTGCAGTGTTGATTTAAAGAAAATAATCTTGAAATACACCAAGAGAACTAAAATTTTATGGGTGAAATGGTGCCATGGGGTGACTTCTCTTCCACCCCAATGCCTTCTCTTCTTCCTTCTCCACCCCCTTTCTAATTCCCATCATCATCATCATCATCATCCAGGAGCCTTCTACATACACACCTCAAAGTAAGTTAACTTTTCTGCCATTTTTGCTGAATTTAGGAAATTTTCGGTGAGCTGGAACCAATTACCCAAAAACCCATTGAAACAATGGTTTCCGTTAACGAACTTTTCGGTTAACGAACGACCTTCTGGAACGGATTGAGTTCGTTAACCGAGGGGTCACTGTATTGTGAAAGCATTCAGCAGGAAGCAAGACTCTTTAAAGTGTCTGTTGCAACTCAAGCCATCTGAGACTACGTTGTTTGTGCTATGTAAACAAAGCATCGGGAATTTAAGATGATGCAATATCTCATCAAGGGTTGTGTGTGTCCCCATAGGTCTCCAATTACTGTATATACAGAAATACCCCACTATCCGGAACTCCGTTTATCCGCCTATGGTTTTTCAAGGTAACTTTTTGAGGTTTGTGTGTTATTTTGGATGTACTCAAGTAGTTAGACACATAAAATTTAAATTCTGAGATAAAAAGTGTCTTCAGCCTAAAATCCTGTAAGGCTTACCGTTTTGGCCATAATCTTGATCTCACCGATTTTGTTCAAAATCTCAATACAGTCAGCCCTTAACATACGCGAGGGTTAAATAACAGAGATACCCGTTAATGTTAAAAATCCGCATATTTTTGCTGCCCCCCCACCCCTAAAAAACCCCTGGTCCCCCCCCCATGTTCTTATTTACCGTATATATCTGTGTATAGTTCGAGTTTTTAAGACCAAATTATTTGGCAAAAAAATGGGGGTCGACCTCTAAACGAGTAATAGTTTCGTTAGGTTGAAAAATATTTACCGGTAACTACCAGTAAACAATGGAAACGACACACCAATGCACCACCAGCTGTGTGTCGGTACAGTTGCCAGGGCAGATCTCTTGCGTTATCATAGCAAGCCCAAAGTAGCCAAATGCATGGTATGGTATGCACAGGACGATGTAAAACAAAGTATTCATTTTTTAAAGTTTAGTTATGGATACTGTACATAAATTTTTGTTCATTACATTTGAAACATCAATCTTTGTTAATTAAATTTGAAACAAAAGAAAATTACGATACCATATTTCTAAATACCGGATATTTTCATTAAAATATTACATCACAAGTATATTTTACCTTAACTGTGACTGAATGAATATATTCTCAGAAATAAATATGGAAATGTAATATTTTTGCTGAAATGACGTACGAATTACAGTGGAAAGTGGGATAAAATCATGACGAAAACAATGACTTTCGCTTTCTTTCGTTGTTCAAAAGATTTTACCGTGGAACAAACCTGTACTGTACATGTACTAAATGATTATGGTACTTAAATTGTTATGTCTATTGCAAATATAGATTGTTTATACAGGTATTCAAATAAATCAATATCTTACAAGAATCCCAGCAATGTAAGTTATATTCACCCAGGTCGTTTGGGTGGCAAATTATGAGAAGAGCTTAGTCACTCTTAAGTAATGATAAATAAACAGTAGGCCTTCAGTGCCAACTGTCACATCTTATCTCAAGTAAATAAACAAACACCACACTCTGTCACCCCACCTCCCACCCCCGCTCCCCTCCCTGTTCCCCCCCATGCTAGCTGGCTACCTGCCTCCTTGTGTTCCCAGACAAAAGATTGGTGATAACTTTATTCTTTAAGGTGTTTATTTTATATAATATCTCAGACTAAAGTTAGATTATAATTTGCATTGCTGGAATCCTTGTAAGACAGCCAATAATTTGAATATAAACGTCATACATTTTGCTCAAGATATAAAAATGTAGTACATTAGTGTACAATACTGTGTAGTACATTTTATAATACAGTGTAAAGTTTTCAACTATATTTTTGGGTAGATTTACATAAATTTCTTGATTTATTTTCATCCATTTACATGCACACACCATACAGTTGTACCCCACTTAACGCGGTCAATTGAACCCAGAGGGTCCCGCGTTAAGTGAAAACCGCGTTAAGTGAATAACAGAACATATGGGATTAATTCCAATAGAACCCAGCCCGACCCCCAAACTCCACTTTTTGACGACAAATAACTATGTTGTAGTAAAAATTCTATCTTAACTTTATGGTGGCATGAAAAACAAGTAATATAGAAGAGGTTAGGTTAGGAAAGATAAAGGTTAACATAGGAAAAATAAAGAATAGGTTAAAAAACGAAAATTTTTGAGGAACACTCACGGTAGTAGAAGAGATGGGTCGGCATACGGGGATGGAGGCTGGTTCCGAGGCAGAGGGCAGATTACTGCCCCTCAGGTGAATCACCATTACTAGGTGAATCACCATTACTAGGTGAATCAATATCACTGTCACTTACAGTTGTCATGGCTTCCCTGACAAATCCCTCAAAATCAACTTCACTATCACTATCACTGGCTTGGGCTGGCTGTGGTGGGTTGCGGGCGAAGAACTCGGTTATGCTTTGCTGACGGCTGGCTTTGATGTTGTCATGATACACCGTGATGTACGGCTCCATAGCCTGCACCAGTCGGGTATGGAAGACGTCATGGCGTTCATCGTCAGTGTCGCGGGAAACGATGGACTTAATTTTTTCTGTTAACTCTATGAGACACTTAATATCACTATGACTTAAACTAGGTTCTTCGGAGAATGACGCACCTTCTTCCTCCTCTTCACTGGCGGGTTCTTCTTCCAACATCTCGTCGGCAGTCACTTCAGGATCTCTGATCACCTCCATGATGTCTTCGTTGGTGGTCTCGGAGAAGCCTTCAGCTGTAATACTGAGCGCAGCTTCTCTGGCAAGGTCCACTGCTACTGCAACAGTCTGAACCTGACCAGTCACAGGTTCACTCCTCCTCTCACCTGGTATGCCATGCAACACATGTCTCCATGCGTGACGAATCGTAGCAATAGTCAGCAGATCCCATGCCTCCACCAAGAAGTCTACAGCTTGTTTGACGTTAAACTTCTTCCAAAATTGTTTGACGAGAAGTTCTTGAGTCGCCGCCTCTTGTTCCTTGTCCTCGTCGCTTTTACTCTCGCTGTCGGTGTCACCCAGCTTACGCAACTCATCCTTGGTGTTGGTAGAGTCGTTCAGGAGCTTGAATTTCTTTGCCGAGTATGCAGCTTTAACATTGCAGATTAACTCCTGGTCCATGGGCTGGATTAATGACGTAGTGTTGGGAGGAAGGAAGACCACTTTTACGTTGGGGTGACGATCCATAAGTAGGGGCGAGTGTCCAGGTGCGTTGTCAAGGAGCAACAAAATATTGAAAGGAACATTCTGTTGCTCGCAGAATTTCTGCACGTCAGGAACAAAACAGTTGTCAAACCAGAAGAGGGACAGAGAAGAGGACATCCACGCCTTACGTGCGGTTAGCCAGTGGACATTAAGCTTGTTCATGTCCATATTCTTGTAGGCGTGCGGCTTGCGGGCTTTGTGAATCACCGATAACTTTGGTTTACAGGTACCGGAGGCATTGGTGGTAAACAGGACGGTGATGCGTTCCTTCTGCATCTTCCGGCCCCTTACCTTGCTCGCAGACTGGACAACGAAGGTCTTGGAAGGTAACTTTTTCCAGAAAAGACCAGATTCGTCCATGTTAAACACCTGGTCGTCACTGTACTGTCCTTCCTCCATAATCTCACGTAAAAACGGAGGAAAATCTCTAGCCGCCGCACGGTCAGCACTCGCTTCCTCACCAACAATGCTGATGTTGGTGACCTTGTTCCTCCTCTTAAACCTATGCAGCCAACCATGGGAAGCATTGAAGGGTTTGGGCTCTGCAATTCCCAGTTTACGTGTCACTGCTGCGTATAGCTCACGTGCGTACTCCTGCACTGAGCGCGTGTCCACCGCCATGTTGCGTCGCGCCTGACGCACCAAATAACTCACCAGCAAAGTTTCCACTTTTGCCAGCACCCTGTTCTGGCAATACCTGATAGATGAAGCACCTGCAGACTTTGTGATCTTCATGTGCTCCTTTATCTTGGCTGCATCCTTCTTTATTGTACGAATCGTAGATTCGTTGACGCCATGCTGGCGCGCGAGATCAACTTGGCGTCTTCCTTTCTCCAAATCTTGAACAATTTGGTACTTCAGCTCGTAGCTTAATGAACGTCGTGTCTTCTTTGGTTTAGTGCCGCTGGGTCCAGGTAAGGAAAGGTTTCTCTCTGGGGGTGGTGGTCCGGCGGAAGCCATTTTACGGAACAATGGATGCGCGTTAACCCGGCGTGGCCTTGAGGGATGAAACTGCCGCGGCTAGGTCAAGCGTCGTCTCTCCTCCCTCCCTCCCTCCCCGGGGTAGTCACGTCATAATACTTTAAGCCAATTACAGCTAGCAGCAGAGGGGGGTAGGGCTGCATGGCCAATCACAGTCCGAGACGTCATATGACGTCAGTGATAACGCAACAAAGACACACACTGCGCAACCTTACCGCGCCGCTTACCCAAGCGGAGGGAGGAGGAGGGAGAGGCAGGCAGGCAGGCGGGCGGGTGGGTGGCGCGTGGCGCGTGGGCAAAATCTAAAAATAGCATCCGAGCCGGACACTCACCGCGTATATGTGGAAAAAACCCGCGTTAAGTGAAAGTTCAGCTTTGGCAAGGCACCGCGTATATGCGAAAACGCGTTAAGTGAAAGCGCGTTAAGCGGGGTAAAACTGTACTAAAAATAGGCTTACAGTTTTTATCTTATATAACATCTCAGACTAAAGTTAGGAGATTATAATTTGCATTGCTGGAATCCTTGCAAGACAGCCAATAATTTGAATATAAACGTCATATATTTTGCTCGAGATAAAAAATGTTGTACATTAGTGTACAGTACTGGTTTTCAGTTAAAACACTGTTGTATAACAATAATACTCCCTCCTAATTGATTTGAATAAATACTTGAATAGAAATATACAATATTTTTGTTGAAACTACCCGTGTTTCAGTGTAGTCGTAATAATAAATGGTAAACAATTTGTTTTCGGCACTCTGTGTTTCAGGCACGGCGAGCCTCAGTTTATAGGACGTAGTGTTTTTACTGAAGGTTTTGTTGTTCCAATACCCTCAAAAAGTTGGGTCGACCTATAAACAAAGAATATAAATTAACGATTTTTTTGGTCAAAAAATCAGGGTCGACCTACAATGCTGATGTCAACACAAGCGTGGTTACAGCGAGACTGAGACTGAGTGAGGGAGCAACGCGCTATGTGTGTGTGAGGTAGCGGGAGTGGGCGGTGTCCAGTGTTCGGTGCCGTGCGCGATTTGAATGTACTTCAATTACTTCAATGTACAGAATATTCCTCCGGCTGGGCAATCCGCATATTTGCGAATCCGTGTATGCTAAACCTGCGTATGTGAAGGGCCGACTGTATATGTACCCCCTGAACATGCTGATTAAGGATCTGTTGTCTGCAATTTGATATCTATAATTTCATGTCCAAATGATATCTAAAAAATATTAATTAATTTTCTAAAGCTAATTACTCGCCACCTATGGTTTTTCTTGGGAATGTACATTTCTTATGTGCACGGTAGTTAGCGCCCGGATTGCGGAAGGAGGGAGTAGTGTTGGAGATCTCAGCCCCTTCAGTCTCCCTCTTGTAGTGAAACTATTGCCAACCTACAATGCAGTTTTTTTTCTTTTATTTATTCCCCATATTTACATTGCATATGCAACCCTGGACCCCAATAGCCTTGCACAATGAGGAGTGTATATCGAAAAATGTGGTGAAATTTGCTGGCTGAGAATGCAGACACCCCCGCCTCACCAGTATTTCTTATGGGAAAAATTGCCCCAATATTCGCAATGACTTAGGAATGTATCCTTTGCGATAACTGGTGTATTGCTGTTGGCATTTGAATACATTTTTGGATTCCCCACTCCCCTTCAAAAGCTTACGAACAAATTTTCTAAAACAGCCTTGGTTTTGGTGAAGTTCTTTTCACCTCAACTTTTTAACTTTGCTGATCTTAACATTTTAACCCACAGGTGCTCTGCTTTAACCTACGAGCACTACTACTACATCAGTGATGAGATTTGTCAAGATACACATAGCCCTCTGTGCATCCTTACTCATGACCAACAGTAGGAGAAAATGAGTCAAGACTGGGCCACTCACCTACTACACCTATCTGACAACCAATCAGAGAGCAAAGTCTGTTTAGTATTTTTTAAACATCTGTTTCTCAGTGAACAAATGAAACTACTGTACTCTTATCAAACTTAAGTTGGTGGATTTTACCAAGCCTTAGTTTCTAACTAATGTTTTAGTTGTAAACTTTGAAACTTTAATACACACATTCCACCTCACCACACATATTCAACTTTACCGGTAATACTTCCACACATTTCAGCACATACACTCCCTCTGCTCACAAATACTGTATCAATTCAATCTTGACAAACATAACACAGTTCATCTGAACACTGCCATTTTGCATTAACCCAAATTATTGATGAAGTGTTGTAGACTAAACTTGGATAACCAATGTAATTTGTTTTTTATGGTATGCTTTGTTGTACACTATTATTTGGGTAAACAATACAAAATATAGCAGCATTTCACTTTTTATTACTTAAAAAAATAGTAATGTACTATATTGAGGTTGTGTAGACAATCTTGGGTTTGTTACAGTACTTTAAAATTATACAATTGTTCTTTATTCACAATGCTGAGATTATGAGCAATCCTATTGGTAGAAAAAACTAACAAAGGATATGCCTTAAGCTAGGATTCCATATACTGTACAGTATATGTGTTTGCAGTTTGCGTTTGAGTTAATTGCCCTGAAAAACGGACACCTCTGTTTCCATATGCATGCAGCTGTCTTTCTAGCGGGAACAGGCTAGGAAATATGGCGCTTAGTGCATTGAAGCCAAGATGCTATTTATATGAACAGGATGATTTGCTATTAAACATCTGGGTTTGTATAAGATCATATGTAAATCAAAGGAAAATGGACAAGGAAACATGGATGGTGGGTTCATAGATTGCTGCTGAATTGGACCAAATATGGAGCCTATAATACTCTGGTCAAAGACCTAAGTTTCGATGAAGAAAAATTCAAAGAATATTTTCGTCTGAGCAGACAACAGTTTGCACATATTCTTTCCCTGGTTGAGGAGGATTTGGTGAAACACTGCAGGAACAGAGAAGTCATTTGCCCAAGGCAGCGACTTGCAATAAGTATAAGGCGAGTCATGCTTATAAATAGGAATTAATAGGAACCGTAGATAAATATTAAGTGACAAAAATTTGTATTCCAGTGAACCTTCACTTAAGAACAGTTGTGTAAAAAATGTATGGATCTCGTAAAATGATATACTGTACTATAAAGGTTTTTAAATATATAATATAAATGCATTATAAAAATAAGTTGGGATATATTCTGAGTGTAATCAACTTCTCAGTCTCCTCAACAGAAGACTGTTTTTTTCCTTGAGGCATTTTGCTGGGTGAGGAGAGCAAACACAGGGATAGTAAAGTCACAGTGTGGGATTCCCATGTCCGTTTCCGTGCATTTGCGTTTTCAATCACTACAGGGAGCGATTGTCATTTACTGCAAACGCATAATGCAACCGTGCCAATGGAAACAACCATGTACATTTCAATGTGATCTATTTTTGGCAATAACGCTACTTCTAACGCATGAATGGAATCCTAGTTTAATGTGTAAATAAGTTTGCAAAGTTCTTATTACTCTTTTATAAAGAAATCTCAGATGTCAGTCACATACACGAGTACTTTAACTTATGAAGTTGGGTTAAACTGTTTTAAAGGAGGGAATGACTATCACAAAAACATATGTAAACCAGCAGGAGGCACCAGCAAGTACCTTCCTTAGAACTAAACTGTTATTTACGGTGGAACCCACTATACTGAACTATTCAGTTGTGAAATTTTGTAACTGATTTTGTAGTGTGGCATTTTAAAAGTTTTCCAAGTAATTTAGAATATGTGTAATTTATATCCACAGTTAATATCAAACCTTTGCATACTATCACCTTGAAACAATATTATTACCTGTAATATCGCAATACAGTGTATGTGATTACATTTTTACAACTGGAAAAGCATTAAGAACATCAAAATGTGTGCAATTGCAATGCCCTAAATATATAAAGCAGACACTCGTTTGCTTTAGTATTTACCATAGTAATACCTTCAGATCATATGAATGTACAAGCCTGATGGCTGTCCAGAATAAACATGAAGGTATAAAAATAAAAAATAAAAAAAATAAAAATACAATGATATAGACGTACAGTAAGTAAAACCTCAATAAATTGGACTTCAATATATCATAATTCGCCTTTGCAGGCTCTGGGGTGCTCTGGACACCAAAAATACTAAAAAAATAAAAGAAATCTTATGAACAGAACCACACTTACTGAATACTGCACTGTACAGTGGTCTAATCAGATTTGCTATAGGCCTACTCAGAATTAATATGTAAGCAGGTTGGGGCTGATCCGGTGTTACCGTATTTGTCAAGTTCATTTTTTATTGATTCGGTATTATATTCTCATATGAATGGCCTCTTATGGTTTAGGGTTCATCAGGATTAATGTAACATTTTCAGTAATAAAGAAAAAATACAATACTGTATCTAATTTGTAATATGACTTGAAAATAAAAGGATAAGCTGTATCAGAAGGTTATTTACTCAAGATGCATTCTTGTGAGAGCTTTCAGCAGACCAGGTTACAACAGTCACTATAACACACTGTAGGGTATAGTATTTGATATGAAGATACCTTCCTGACAATGTTATTTACTACCTTTGAGTGTCATATGATGGCTCAATTTGGCTACTTGTACCATTAGACAACTGATTAATGAATAAACCAGGGTATAAGCAAATACACAATACATGTACTGTACACTACAATATGACTTATTAAGTGGTGATAAATACACTACTATAGTATTAAGTGATGATACATACACGACTGTACTGTACTAATTTACCAAGTGTTGAACACAGACGCTGTGGTAAGCCAATCAGCTGTTTGCCCTTTGTAAACAAATGATCCCAGTGTTAAGTGTGAGATTCTCTTTTCAGGAAAGCTGATTCTTTTAAGACAATATTTTATCAACCTGGCACCAAATGAACCTCAATGATATGAGAATTACTGTATGGTGAAAATGCATAAAGAAGTGTTAAAGGAATCTTGGGGGAGAGATGGGGAGGGAGCAACCCCCTCTCCCCTCCCCTCTGCTCCAAGATAAACACTCATCTTCCACATACAATATATTCCTGCACTTATTTTTATCTTTATAATATTGTACAGTACAGTATATAGTTTTCTCTTCATTCATAAGACAAATTATGTGGTTACGTACTTACAAATAACACTTTTCAGTATATAACAATCATATCGGTGACAACAGTTGTTGACAAACAGACTCAAGTGTGATTTTCAACCAAGAGAGTTGTCATATTTTTTTTTAGTTTATATAATATTCCTTTTAATAACCTTGTTATACACTTAAGGACCTTAGTTGTTGTTGATGTGCACTGATAACATAACATCAATTGGTTTTCTTTAAACAGTTTAGATAAGCAGTGTTATCTGCACCTCCCCCCTCATATATTTGCTTTTTTTTTTTTTTGCTTTTGCATATGTATTTCGGACTGGGGTCTGCCCCAATTAATCTGATTTATCGAGGTTCTACTGTACTCAAATTTCACACGAGTTTGATCACTTCCGTTAGAACTTTCATGAACAACTAACGCCGATCCATTGTGTATAAAGTTAAAGACTTTTTGGAACCCTGAATAAAATTATTATTCTCCATGTTATTTTCCAGTGACACATTATTAAAATTATGAATTTGTCCATTATATTACAGTTTCTGTATAGCTTAATATTGATTGTTTTATGTTCAGCATAAAAAAATAAAACAACTTCAATGAGTACATGTATTTAAAACAATTAATCTTGACTAAATATATACAGTTGTACCCCACTTAACGCGGTCAATAGAACCCAGAGGGTCCCGCGTTAAGTGAAATCCGCGTTAAGTGAACAACAGAACATATGGGATTAATTCGAATAGAAACCAGCCCGACCCCCAAACTCCACTTTTTGAAGACACATAACTATGTTGTAGTAAAAATAACATCTTAATTTTATGATGGTACATGCACACAATTAATACTTAAGAGAAATAGAGAAATACAGTCGCCAAGTTAATGTCCATTCAAATAATGGACTCAACTCCCTCCCCCTCTTCTCACACAACACTGCTGGCTCTTCCCTCTCTGAGAAATTTTGGGGGGAAAACCACTAAATTTTAAAAAATAATACCTCAAACTAAAGTTAGGATAATACAATTGACATTGCTGGATTCCTTGTAAGACCAGGAATATTTTGAATATAAATGTCATATATTTTGCACAAAAGATAACATATTTACTTAGAGAAAACATTTTATCTAAAATTTGTGTCTAATGCAAAATATATGATGTTTATATTCAAAATGATCACCAAATTATAAGAATTCCAGCAATGTAAATTATATTCTGGCCGGGTAATTTGTATGAATTTTATGAGCTAAAACAGGCAGTCAGGCAGGGTGGCAGGCAAATCTAAAAATAGCGTCTCGAAATGGACACTCACCGCGTATATGTGGAAAAAATCCGTGTTAAGTGAAAGTTCAGCTCTGAGGCGATATATGAAAAAGCAGTAATAATGTGATATATATATATATATATATATATATATATATATATATATATATATATATATATATATATATATATATATATATATATATATATATATATATATATATATATATATATTATATATATATATAGTGTATATATATATATAGTATATATATATATACAGTATATATATATATATATATATATATATATATATATATATATATATATATATATATATACAGGTAGACCATCAAAAATCCGGCAACCGATAAGCCGGAACCTTCAGTTTTCCGGAGCGCATTTTCAAATATTTCTTTGTTTATTTAATGAAGATCTATGTTTTAACTCATAAAATTCATACAAATTACCCGGCCAGAATATAATTTACATTGCTGGAATTCTTACAATTTGATGATCATTTTGAATATAAACATCATAGATTTTGCATTAGACATACAAATTTTAGAGCTAATGTTTACTCTGAGTAAATATGTTACCTTTTGTGCAAAATACATGACATTTATATTCAAAATATTCCTGGTCTTAAAAGGAATCCAGCAATGTCAATTATATTATCCTAGCTTTAGTCTGAGGTATTATTTATTACTAAAATGGTAAATAGTCTGGTTTTCCCACACATTTATCTGGTAGGGAGGGTTGGTGGGGGGTGGGGTGGAGGGAGGGACCGTCCGACCATCTGGCACGTGTGAAGAATATTTATTTATTTTTTTATTAACTGAAGATATTTGTTTTAGCTCATAAAATTCATTCATATTACCCGGCCAGAATATAATTTACATTGCTGGAATTCTTACAATTTGATGATCATTTTGAATATAAACATCATAGATTTTGCATTAGACATACAAAGTTTAGATATAATGTTTACTCTGAGTAAATATGTTATCTTTTCTGCAAAATATATGACATTTATATTTAAAATATTCCTGGTCTTACAAGGAATCCAGCAATGTCAATTATATTATCCTAGCTTTAGTCTGAGGTATTATTTATTACTAAAAAGGTAAATAGTCTGGTTTTCCCACACATTTATCTGGTAGGGAGGGTTGGTGGGGGTTGGGAGGGAGGGTTGGGGCCGACTGACCATCTGGCGCGGTTGGAAGAGGGGGGAAGCAAGGTGGGGTACTTTGATTGACAGATAGTGTCTGAAGAATATTTTTTTTTTTATTAACTGATACACACACACACACACATATATATATATATATATATATATATATATATATATATATATATATATATATATATATATATATATATATATATATATATATATATATATATATATATATATATATATATATATATATATATATATATATATATATATATATATATATATATATATAGAGGCAAATTGTAATTTTTGTGTCAGACTTTTCTGGGCAGTTTTTATACTGTACTGGTTAATCAAGTAATTTTTCATTGCTTACTATACTGGATGTGTAGAGAAACCAACTCATTTGCATGTAAAATATACAGTCTACTAAGCCTTTTCAAGTTCTATCATACCTCTTATAATGGACGAGATATGTTCTTGAGGCGGGTCCGCTTATATCCGTTAAGAGACCATTAGAACATGGTGTTTATGGAGATGTGTTCTTATTATTAGCAAAATTAATCAAAATATTAAATAACTATCTTTATATGCCACTAATTTCTCAGAGAATTACTAAACATTGATTAAATGTTCCAAAATGTGTTGTAAACATTACAAAAAGGTTGCACTTCATTTTCAACTGCTGTCTCCATAAGAAAGGTAAAAATTAAACGGCAAGCAAACCACTCCAGCACAACGATAATATAAATGGTTGTCACAAGGTAAAAATGCTTATCTTTCACATTCCAATTAAGACTTTGTTAACATCAATAATAAATTCAACCAAAATTAATAAACAACACTCCTTTGACCTGATGCTCATCCGCCTCAACCCTTCTTATCACTTTCATTTTTATGTCCATAGTCAGGGCTGGCCCCAGCTCTGTGCAGCTACAGAGGGCCCCCTCCTGAATACAATACATTTGTTGTTTATTAGAATTCGTATTTCAATTCTAATATTTCGTGAGCATCTCAAAACTGCAGGCGAGTTTGCTGTTATCAAGACATTTTAATAGAAAATCAGGTACAGTGGTCCCTCGGTTAACGAGCGCCTCGGTTAACGAGATTTCGGTTAACGAGCTGCCTCCCATAAGATTCTTAAATTCGGTTAACGAGCAACCCCTCAGTTAACGAGTTTCTTACGAGCCGACCTCAACATGTTTTCGCTTGCACTGGCCGGTCAACCAGCTGTAGTATTAGTCCGCCAATACATAGATCGGCTCTAGGGCTTAAATTCCTTACTATTTTAGTATATATCAAGAAGTTTATACTATTCAATAATTTTAAAAGTTTAATATTCAATTTTTTAGTCATTTTAACAATTATTGAACATAATTGAAGGTAAAGTGACTAGTTTAATGCGCGGCATCCAGCCTCTTAACACAGCAAACAGGCGTTAGTCTCTCTCTGTTTTCACTGGAGGTAACATCTTGCTTGAGACTCTCTTCAACTAAACGCTTTTTTCTGTGTTTCCAAGCAAATTATTGGTCATTTTGAAATTTATTTTACATATTGACAATATATAGCGCAGTGCAGTGTTATTTTAAAGAAAATATTCTTTATTTACAACAAGTTTAACCTTGAAAAGCACGTGTTGACATTGTTTGAATCTAGCATGGGGCCTAAGAGATCAAGAAAAGCTATTTCAATCCAAACCAAGCAGGAAATCATAAAAAAACATGAACAAGGCATTAGAACAAATGCGCTATGCAAAGAATATGGCATGTCGACATCAACTGTGTCGACAATTCTTGCACAGTAAGACAAATTTAAAGAAGTGAAAGTAAGAGACAAATCTACAAGAGTGTTTAAAAGTGTATCCCTAATCGCAGAAACTGAGAGGTTACTTATCATCTGGATTAGGGAAAAACAGATGAAAGGTGATTCAGTTTCTACTGAATTCATTTGTGAAAGAGCCAGGGAGATTTACGAACATTTAAAGGCAGATCAACCTGGTTCTTCAGGCACAGAATTTGAAGATTTTCGGGCCAGCGAAGGCTGGTTCAAAAAATTTAAGAAAAGAAGTGACATTTTCAGTGTTGTTAGGCATGGTGACGCTGCTAGTGCTGATAAAGAAGGGGCAGCAAAGTTTTTAGATGAATTTAAAAAACTGATGGAAGATGAAAATTATCTTCCACAGCAAGTGTTCAATGTGGACGAAACTGGGCTGATCTGGAAAAAGATGCCCAAAAGAACATTCATCACCAGAGATGAAGCCTCTTTACCTGGGCATAAACCCATGAAAGACCGTCTCACTCTATTGCTTGGTGCCAATGCTTCAGGGGATTTCTGACTGAAGCCTATGCTTGTCTACCACTCTGAAAACCCCAGGGTGTTCAAGCAACAGAAAGTGGAAAGAACAAAGCTTGGAGTTTATTGGAAGTCCAACCGTAAGGCATGGGTGACAAGACAGCTCTTTAATGAATGGGCTGTTGATGTGTTTGGCCCTTCTGTCAAGAGCTACCTAACCACCAATAAACTCCCTTTAAAGGCTCTTCTCCTCATGGATAATGCTCCTGGTCATGACGCTGACCTTGCCAGAAATTTGGAATATCAATTTGACTTTGTGAAAGTGTTGTTTTTGCCTCCAAACACTACATCAATCATACAGCCAATGGACCAGAATGTAATCAGCAGCTTCAAGAAGTTGTACATGAAGAAAATGTTTATGAGGTGTCATCAGGCAACTTCCAATGATCCTGAACTAACACTGAAACATTTCTGGAAGACACAATTCAACATCCTGGAGGCTGTAAAATTGATGGTGTCATCATGGCAAGAAGTCTCCACTAGATCCCTCAATTCTTCATGGAAAGCACTGTGGCCATCAGTAGTCCATGATTTTGAGGGATTTGAGGAAGAAACAGAGTTGGACCAGGAGATTGTGTCCATTGGTCAGTCATTGGGCCTTGAAGTGGAGGAGGAGGATGTGGAAGAGCTTGTGATGTCTCATGAGGAGGAACTTATTCCTGATGACTTGAAGCAACTGGATGAGATGTTACAGGTAGAGGCTGACAGTGGTGAGGAGGAAATTGAAAGTGATGACCATATGTCAGCTAAACAGTTGAAAGATGTGATTTACTACTGGGAGAAGTTCAGGGAACTGGCTTCAAAGCACCCAGAAGTGGAAAAACTGAACTAACTTTGTGTCATGTTGAGGACTCAGTGGTCTCCTTCTTTAAACATAAGTTAATGGTGAGGAGGACAGATGCCCCACAGACCACAATTGACACTTTCTTCAGTAAAAGGCAGAGGGAACAAGATGCTATCCCTCAGCCTTCCACTTCAAGAAGGAGAGAGGATGTTCATGGTGGAGAATCTGTCAGTCCAGAGGTTCCTGACATTGTCATGGAAGGTGACTCACCTTCCAAGAAGCATTAAAATGCTTCTCCTCCACCTCCACTTCCTTCTCTTCTCCCTTCTCCTCCTCCACCTCCCACTTCAAATGCACATCATCATCATCATCATCATCCAGGAGCCTTCTACATACACACCTCAAAGTAAGTGAACTTTTCTACCATTTTTGTTGAATTTAGGCAATTTTCGGTGAGTTGAAACCAATTACCCAAAAACCCATTGAAACAATGGTTTCGGTTAATGAGATTTTCGGCTAACGAGCAACCTGTTGGAACGGATTGTGCTCGTTAACCGAGGGACCACTGTATGTGGGTGGAGGACTGGGCACAATGGGAGGGTTGTCTCAGGAATGGGGGCCTCCAACCATTATCTTGCACAGGGCCCCTCAGAAGCGAGAGCCATTGTAATGACTTTCCTGGGCAATTTCATATCCGACATGCTGTGGACCACTTGGTAGCCGCATGGAACAAAATCACATTGGCAACCATTAAACATGCCTGGAAACCCCTCTTCCCACACCTGAGTAACCCGGGGTCGTCTGTGCAGCGTCAGGCGGGTTTATTAGAAGCTGTAGTAGAAAGTGCAAGGAGTGTCCCAGCACTTGGTTTCCGTGAGGTAGATGCAGAACATATCAATGAGATGCTTCAGGAGAATGATGAAGAAATGCTGGATGATGTGGCTGATGAGTCATCTGACGAGGCAGGTGAAGGCAACGCTGGAGAGGAACGCAAGATCACAACCAGCAAGTTGTCTCTGATACTGAGCACTTGTTCGAACCTCCAAGAACTGGTTGAAGAGTTGTCCGAGACTGAGAAGGAGCGTGCATCACTGGTGAGCAAAGTGGAGGCCATCACCAACACATTTATGCCAAGATAATACCAGCGAAAGAGAAATGAACGCCAGCAGTAATTAATCACATGGTACCTCACACAACGCCGACAAGTTCGTGATGCACTCCAGAACATCGGTGTTGGAAAAGAGGTGGAGGAGGAAACACAGGATTTGCCAGATATTACCACCGAGGACTTCCTAGGATTGGAACCAGGAGAGCCAGGGAAGGTGGCTCCAACTAGCCTGCCCATCCCCAGCCTCGGATATCCAACATCACCCAAGCTCATCAAGTTTGGGCTAATTGGTAAGTGCTACTGTATTTTTTAAGTGTTTATGCATTGTTTAATAATGATTTATCTTTATATGCAGAATTTGTATCATTTGGAGGTTATAAACGGAAAAATCAGCGGTTGATGTAGAGTGGCCAGTCTATATTGTTATTTGTCCCATTAGTTTATGTACCGGGTATTTGCAGTTAGCGAATTTGAATTTGGCGCAATTTTTCTAGTCTATAATACTCGCGAAATACAAGATCTTACTGTACATCATCTTTCAAACCCGGAAAAATATTCCCCATCCCCGGAATTTTCTGGGACTGGGGAAATTTTCTCAGAATTTTCCAGAAAATGTGCCCCTTGGAAAATTTCAATTCCGGCTATTGGAGAGTTCCGGGTTTGAGGGATTCTGGCTAACGGAGATATTACTGTATTGAGCCAATTAAAAGAATTAAATTTAATTTTAAAAATATTCAGTGTCACATTTTAATAAATTACTTAAGTTTACATTTTTTATTGATAGTTATTTTCCTTAATATAACTGATAATTATGTTTTTTTACATTATTAACGACACACATTGATATTGAAACTATATCTTGCGCTTGTGAGACCTCACTTGGATTACGCAGTTCAATTCTGGTCACCGTATTACAGAATGGATATAGAATCCCTAGAAAGAATTCAATGGAGAATGACAAGACAAATCCCGGGCATTAGGAACCTCGAGTACAGAGACAGGTTCAAGCATCTTAATTTGCACTCCCTCGAGAGACGTAGAGTGAGGGGCGATATAATAAGAGGTGTATAAATGGAAGTCAGGGCTAAACAAGGGGGACATAACAAAGGTACTCAAACCATCCAACCAGGAGCAAACTCAAAACAATGGTTTTAAATTAGACAAATTTATATTTAGGTGCAAAATAGGTAAACATTGGTTTGGAAAAAGAGTAGTGGATGAATGGAACAAGTTACTAAACATCATCATTAACTCGAATACACTGGATAGCTTCAAACATAGGTTGGATGGATATATGAGCAATAAGGGTTGGGTGTAAATGGGACTGCCCAGTATGGGTTAATAGGCCCGCTACAGTGTGACGGCTCAGAACAGCGACAATCCTTAGGAAAAAATATTCAAGAAAATGACGCAAAAGTGGTAGTGTGATGCTGTCTTTAATAACAACAGCATTCCAGCGTTCCACACAAGTTTTGAAAGAAATTACTCTCCAGTTCACTACACTATTACAGCAGTTATACTAATACATCATTCTTCAAGTTGTTATTATGTACAAATTAATGCAATAATTAACTATTTTTCACTTGTAAAAGGAAGATGACTTGGCTTGAGCCAAGACAAATCAATCTTGGAATTTTGCCATGTCACAATTTGGCTTCCAAATTTCTAGAAGTACCCACATTCTCCACCAACACAATGCTCTATAGTTGCATTATCAAATAAACTTTCCCAATTTGTGACATCAATATGTATAGCCATTATTGATTTCCTTGTCACACTACGGCACCTAATTTTTACCATTTTGGAAGTACAGTACAGTACTGTACAGTATATAAATTAAAAGCATAAAAAACAAGGCTTTTTATTATGACACTACAGCTGTACTATTGACTCTACAGATATAGTAGAGTACACGCAGTCCCCAATATACGAAGATGTGATTTACATAAATCGGGGAATGCCTGTACTTTCAACATCAAAATACATTTTTTAAATTTTTGCCCATATAACTTTAATGAAAGTTGTCTTAGAGGGTTTATACTTTCTATAAATTTACTTGTGCTTGGAATATATATACATATATGTATACTGTATATTGCAAAGGTATATGCAACCATAACCTTCGTGAATGAGATCTGAATGAAAAATAGCAGTGGGAATTTACTCACCAAATACAGAACATGGTCTAATACTGCATACTTGGGTTGTCTCAAACCATTAACCTGGGCTCTTTAAGTATACAAAATTATTTCTGTATAAATGAGATTACTGGGGTAATAGTAAAAATAACTACTGTAGAGGTAGAAATGATGAATTATTACAAATATGAAAATAAGAAAATGCTTGACTTTGGTTTCCTCTGGATATTAATGTTCATGAACTTGTTTGTGCATAAGATATAAATTGAGGATACATTATGGAATGCATAAATAACAGGTACATCTAAGCAAAGGAAAACTTGACAAGGTACCGTAACCGCACTTGTCCTTCTTTGTATATCACATACTCACTGGACAAGAATCCACTAGCCTGAAACTCCCTCTGAGGTTCTGGTGGTCCAGTGGGTACAATCACTCTTATGTCATCAAAGTGCTGTATCTTGTCTTTGGAAGGGTCTGTGAAGGTGAAAAAGAAAATATTAATATAAAAAACATTATAAATTTAACTGCCTTTCCAAAAAACATACTGTACTCTGGAGAATATGAGAAAGAACCATGAGGACCCAAGGTGAAGGAAGAACCGTTCTTTGTATAAACCAAAGAGTAACTTGCCTCGAGTTTTAATGTACAGTATGATACAATTTGTATTTCCTTTGATTGGCACTATCAGCATGGGGCCCATGTCACTATTTGCTGTATGGTTTCATCGGGCATGAGACCCAAGTGTTTGCTAATATGGGATCATAAGTCCATATTGAAGTGTAAGGCTACACAAGCATGGGGCCAGATCAAGTCAGGTTTACTTATGAACTTATATAGTGTTATTGTACAAATGATCAAGCACTGATCTATAACTGATATCTTTGAAACAAAAGTAGTCTAAAATAGTTGAAGCTTTTCAAAAATGTACTACTAAGAGCTTATTCTTTTCTTACAACATTAAGTTGATTAACTGAACTACAGTATACACCTCGAGATATCTACAACATAACCCAGCGAGCATAGCTGGGAAAAAAGTATTACCACATGACAAAATTACAAAGGCCATTAAGTTAATAATTAACTTAAAACAAAATATTATTAACTACCGAAAATCGAAAATACCAGAAAATATGAAATTAGATGGGAGATGGAGAGGTAAATATAAGCTTGAAGAATAGAAGGAAATGGGTAAACCAAGAGTATGAAAGGATGCACTAAATGTGAAGGAGGATGGTCATTCAGGTAAACAGCTGCACGTGTATTTTAGGAGAAGGATGTAACAATTGACCTATGAAGTGACAGGAGTGAATCAGATTTGAGGACAACATTCCTTCTAGCCTAGGCAGCCTCACAACAGTCTGTCAAGAGCTGTACACTTAAATTTTTAGCTGCAAATATTAAATAAACACCTTAAGAGGTGCAACTTGTTAAACATTCCTTGTTTTTATATTATTTTTACTTTTTACATATATTTGGTAAATTTAAAGCAGATTTATTATTCATACTTTTATTTCTAGTCCTTAAACTGCTTCATGAACCAATTGACGCAAAGCCTTTTCCCGTCAACATTCACGGCCACGACCTTACTAATGTCACATGCTTAGTTATGCTCTATCCACCCTGGATGATATACCATCTGGTACCTCCTGCCAGGCCACTCAGAAGATGCAGGGACATCCCAAGTTTATTACCCCTAAGCATCTGCCAAAATAATCTCATCAGCAGTGATGATGGGGAGGAAGCATACATCAAGTCTGATGTATAAGCATTAGAAACAAGTGGAGTGATATACAGTAATGTACAGTTGACCCTCGTTAATTCGGACCCCTTTAATCCGGATTTCGGATAATTCGGACAAAATCTGAACGAATTTTTTTTTTTTTTTTAATTTGTAGGAATATTACCTACGCGGACCTTAAGCTAAAATGCTGGTTAAATGTAACATCTCCACCACTAGTATGGGGGGGGGGATGCAACTTTTAGCTTCAGACATGAAAAATATTTACCATTTACTGCCAGTAAACAATGGAAACGTAAAATATGTACCAATTAGTCATGAAAAGTTGTGCAGTTCCTTCAGCAAATGAAGCTCACCAACTTACAATAGGCTAAATTACCTTACAACGTGCTTTCAGTAGTCTATGTTGAAGTTCTTAGCACAGGCTAACTTATCATATCATATACGGTATCAAAGTTCTCATTGATCTACAAAAAATACCGGTAATAAAAACCTTTTTGATATTTCACACTTAATATTATACCCGGCAATCTACTTCAACCTCCTATTGTTTACAACGACGCATGACGCACCACCAGCTGTTGAGTATCAGCTAGACGGTACACGTGTTTTTCGAATCGTTTTCAGTTAAAATACTGTTACATCACATGTATATTTTACCTTAACTGTGTCTGAATGAATATATTCTCGGAAATAAATAGTAGTTTTGCTGAAACGTGATGTATTTTAATGTAAAATAGGATAAAATGCATGACGAAAACAAAAGATTTTACCTAACCTTCCGATGTTCAAGAGAAGTTACTCGTTTTTTTTAATAGTTTTTGGTTAAAATACTGTTATATTACAATGGTATTCTATTCATAATGTGCTTGATATAATGCATTCACGGAAATGTAATATTTTTGCTGAAATGACGTATGTATTACAGTGGAAAGTGGGATAAAATCATGACGAAAACAATGACTTTCGCTTTGTTTCGTTCAAAAGATGTTACCGTAATCGCTTTTCGATTGGTTTTCAGTTAAAAAACTGTTGTATTACAATAATATTCTATCCTAATTGACTTGAATAAATACTACGATACCATATTTCTGAATATTTTCATTAAAATCCATCCAAATCATTTTCCTTGTCATCGTCTGCAGCACCAAACAGCTTCTCCCAGTCCTCTCCTTGAACAGGGCTAGAGGGTACGTGTTTTTCGAATCGTTATCAGTTAAAAAACTGTTACATCACATGTATATATTACCTAAACTGTGCCTGAATGAATATATTCTCAGAAATAAATCGTAGTTTTGCTGAAACGTGATGTATTTCAATGTAAAATAGGGATAAAATACATGACGAAAACAAAAGACTTTACCTAAGCTTCCGATGTTCTTGAGATGTTATTCGTTTTTTTACTAGTTTTCAGTTAAAATACTGTTATATTACAATGATAATCTATTCATACTGTGCTTGATATAATACATTCACGGAAATGTAATATTTTTGCTGAAATTACGTACGTATTACAGTGGAAAGTGGGATAAAATCGTGATGAAAACAATGACTTTGAAATATAATGCAATATTAACCCCTAAATCGGTTAATTCGGACAATCGGCTAAAACAGACACCCTTCCCCCCCCCTATTAGTCCGAATTAACGAGGGTCGACTGTACCTATATTGGTAGGAAAAGCTGATGCTCATTGTTTTGGGGTTTTTGCTATCATTTGTTTTATGTACTCATATGCTACAGGGAAGGCAGGAATATCATTTATTTTTTAATACTAGTTATGTTTACATATGATACTATCATTTTATAATTTTTATGAATTGCTTCTAAACGGCTGATTTTATGCACATACTAGGTAGGCAATTACTGTAAAATGTTAAAAGAGGCATCCTGTAGTGAAATGGTTAAAAGCTAGTCGTAGTAGACATCTGCATACTGTCATGCTATTGGCACATGCAACAAAGTTCATTCTCATGTAAAAATTAGAGGAACTATGTTTGTGGGCCTTGTTGTACGAGAATTACACAGCAGTAAAAGAACAACAAGGAATGAAGTGGAAATGTGTGGATTCGCTTATTTTTAGACACCCTGAATTCCATAGGACGATTATTGACAGAATATTATAAACACTGTACAATCAAAGTTCATCATACCATCACTATGAAGTACAGTACATCATTGCTTTTGGGTAACCACAAAACATATCAGGAGTCATGTGACCCTGCATGATATGGGTCAACAGGTTTGAAAGCATGAAATGAAGTGGAATGAATAAGTATACCAGTATCGATCTTGGTTAGAACATACTGTTAGGTGATAAACAAACCAATTCTTAAACACAATTGTGAATTGAAAACTCACCTCCCAAAGAAAAAATAATTGTATTAAAATTGCAGATCAGAAAGTTGAAACCCAGGTGTTGAAAGAAAATAGTTATCCTCATTGGTGGTTAGAAAAATACCATGTCCTGTACAGTAATTGCATAGCCATCACCTGGCTGTAACCTGTCCATATTCACTTAACTAATAATAACTTAACTACATTTCCCTCAATCACTAACCTGTCCTCATTCACCCACCTGGCTCTAATCTGCCTTTAGCTGCAATGCTGTTAAAGCCTTCTGGGGCCTGAGTGAGAGAGCTGTTGCCCATTTTGATGTATTTCATCCTCCCTAAGGCCGTTTCCACCAGGAACATGAACCCCACATTCCGTTCTCCCTCAAAAGTCCCCCACTGGACACCAACTGCAGAAATTGAGAGAAAAGGGCACTGAATATTAAAGGTTCAGTACACAAAGAGGCAGTGTGGCAAGCACTGCAATTAACTGCCTTCACAACCTTAACTGCTAAGTTTGGGGATACCAGATACCTTAAGCACACACCAGCAACCCCTATGACAGAAGTGCACTGTATTCCTCAAACACTACATCCCATGCAATATGATGGGCTTCTGTTAAATAGTTTGATAAATGACCAAAGAGGATTTGTAAAGGTTGGGGATCAGAGCAGCAAGGTTGCTGTAGTATCATACAAACAGGACAATGAACAGCAAGTCTAAGAGATGAAATGAATACAATTATTTTTAGATAGTAATGAAGTTGAGTTTATAATTTTTCTGCTAGCCAATAAATATTTTATTCCATGAACACTATGATCCCACTAGACACTGGTTGAATTATTCAATTTTGACAGAAGTCAGATTATGAATAAGCCCTACATTCAGTGAGATCATGGTACAGCAGAATCTTACATAGCTAGGCATCTATAGACATACAATCAGGGAAAGAGTCCTGTCAGTCCTCCAACCTGAGACTCATGAACCTGTGAAACAGACATACACACATTGTTGGCACACTGGGTCATGTGATGTCTCAGATTCACAGGTTCATGAGTCTCAAGAGTTCATGGATAGGAGGACTGACAGGACTTTTTTCTGTGACTGTACAAGTGACCCTCACTTTTTTACTTCACTTAATGCCATCTCACTATTACAGGTACAGTATATGCAACACCCCCATTTCTAAGAATCATACTGACAAAAAATAAAAACAATACTATATTATTTTAGCTATTTGTTTCATTTCTGCCCCCACAAATACGGTGCTCTCACACTGAGATGAATGCAGTCAAATAAACAGTAAATGTACAAAAATTAAAGTTGCACAAATACCTCCAACCTACCATTCCAAGAACTCTTGGCATGTTCAGGGGTGAAATATAGCCCTTTCCCAAGACTACCACCAGAGAATGGGGTGATCCTCAACCCAGATTTCAAGATTTCGGCAACTCGAGCCACGTTCACACCATGCCACAAGAGCTTTCGATAGTGCAGCCCTACATGTTCTTCAAATCTAAAAGAAAATTACAAGAATGAAGTAATAAACATGAAAATTATAAATACAATTTGATACTACAGTATGAAGCATTTTATAGACAGTAATACCCCGATTTACGCGGTCAATTGAACCCACAGAGGCCCGCGTAAAACGGGAAACGCGGAAATGGAACAACAGAACATATGGGATTAATTGAAATAGAGACTGGGCCGACCCCCAAACTCCACTTTTTCAGACAATACCTACGTAGTAGTAAAAATAACATCTTAATTTTATGATGGTATGCACACACAATTAATAATTCAGAAAAATATCAATAATATTAGGTTTTTTAACATTTACATAAGTAAAAAAGATGGCTGGGCACACGGGGATGGGGGGTTGGTTCCGAGGCAGAGGGCAGATTATTGGCCCTCACCTGTATCACTTGTATCAATTGTATCACTATCCACCACAGGCTTGCAGGGCCTCTTTGTCAAACCCCTCAAAGTCCATATAAGTCCATATCCTCACTATCACTGACTTGGGCCAGCTGTGGTGGGTGGCGGGTAAAGAACTCGGTAATGTTTTGATGACTGGGCGACCTTGTGCGCACCCTGCCCACGCCACTTCCCACGCATATGAGTAGATGCACAGCGTAAAGTGGGAATTCTGGCGGGGTACCGCGTAAATGTGGAAACGCGTAAACGGGAACCGCGTAAATTGGAGTATTACTGTAACCTGAAACAAGTACAGTAATATACTGTAAAATACTGTATCAATCTTTATGTGATATGCTTTTACCTCCTACAGACCAGGGACCATACACCAATAACTACCCGGTAGGCATATTTTTACACAGTTCTCTCTCATGATATCCCTTATACACACACATCCTCACTTTGACCTTCTACCTAATATGAGTGTGTGTGTGTGTGTGTGCATGCATCACTAAATAGGGATAAACCTTAAAATGCACCAATGTTTTATGCCAAACAGACATAACAGTTTATTGGTTTCAGGAGTGATCAAAGGAATGAATTCTGATATTCATTGTTACATATAAAAGAGGATGGACCTTGGTTGTACTGATAGTAGGGGAGTGTATTACATATTCCAATGTGACAAAGACTAATCCTAACTGAAACAAGATATGAAAAAGATCTGGAATTTTAAGTTGAGAATGAACTGAAATTCTTAGATCATTGTGAAAATGTGAATCTTGTTAATAAACTACAGTCCAGTCCTGCTTAATGATTAACCAATTACAGTAATTAGGAATTCAGTTGATGACCTTAGAGTTTTGGGGTAAGAAAATTCAATGGACGACCTTCTATTCAATTTCACGAGCAATATTTCCAATGAAAGAGTGCTTACATGCCTGCCAGGACCCACAGCAAGTCACACTCCAGTTGCCAATTACATATTCTTTTACTCCTAAAATGGCAGCCATCATCAGTGGATGTTTCATGTTCCATACATTCCATTTTTTGTGCATATGAGGGTGGATTAGGGATTCTTTAGCCATTTTTTAAGGTTTAATTTACATTTGGTCTTCTTATATAATCACTTAAATGATAAACAGAACCTTAAACTCATATTCTAATATCAACCAGTCCAGATGTCACTTGAATCAGTCAATTTGCCCATCAGCCAGTTCAAAATGTAAACACTACATTAAACTCTATTGCTTGCACTTCTACAGACTATCTTATTATTATTAAAGTACTTCACCTTGACACACTTGCTTGTATTCTGTAAGACATTCTCCTAGTAACTGACCTATGATTACATTTTACTTACACACAAATACTTGTGCCCAACAACCACCAGGGTTACAGGGTTTCTAAATCCCTAACATGACAATAAATTTGAAGTAACTCACTGAAAAATCTAAATAAACATCAGGTTCCCCAACTATTGTTCCTTGAATTAGAATTTTTTTCTGAACCTACAACAAACATGAACAGGAAGATTCATTATCAATATAAAATTCTTTAATAATGACATGAGTAGCACTGAAATATCAAGCCTCCTTAAGATTATTTTACTGTTAACCCCTTGGGCTGAATAAAATCATCTGGCATTAGACAAATAGAATATTAAAAGATGTGTCCTTGTAGTGAAGGAATTAAAAACACAGAAAATTAAGTAATCAATATGAAACTTTACAAAAAGACAAACTGCAATACTGTACTTGGCCTTCTCCTCTGGCCGGTGAACACTCCACACATCCAGCAAGGTACACTTTCTTGAGTTTTTGCATGCTTCTGAATATTCCTTCACCACCTGCAAATATTAATCTGTTGTGTGTCTGTTCACTATACACGGTCACACGTTTAAGGAGTCACAAAGGTGGAACCCCCTCATTAAAAACATCTATTTTCCTGTTTCTTTGCTATGTGCAACCACAGCTTATAAGATACGAGCTGAAATTTTATATTCTTATGTGAATACTCCTAAGAGCGCTCACAAACATCTAAATTGGGAGAAAGGATGGGTCTTGGGTCTGTCCCTATGGGACATGAACAGTTTTGAACATACTGTGGGTATATGAAACTTAATAAAGTTATTTTTGGTATGTGCACTTAATTTTGGTCAAGCACAGACATTAGCAATGAACTGCCCTCTAATTCTAGAGAGTGGGCCTTTTTCTTTAATAGAGTGTTTGTGTGCCTTTTTGCACCCCCTTAACATAAAGAGCTTAAATTTGGTATGGTTATGAAGTTGAAAGTGTTAAAAACAATTCTGAGCAATGCAGAATATTCTAGCTACAGTCTGTTCACTCAATGTTTGCAATTGAGGCCTAGGGTCAGGTCAGTTTGTAGCAAAGTAACAGATTGGTTGGCAGACAATTTGAAGAATCCTTACAGTTCTTCAGTATTTAACCTATCATATTTTTTAATTTATATTCTGATATTTTAACCCTTTCACTGCGTTTCACGCACTTGCCATTTTATTCTGGCCACTGCCAGACAATTTTATTCAGCTTAGGCCCTTAGGGGTAACCTCCAACAGCCAAAGGGTTAAAAATCTATCTCGATTAACCCTTTAGCTGCGTTTCACGCACTTGCCATTTTATTATGGTTACCGCCAGACACCTTTATTCAGCTTAGGATAAACTCCCGCAGCCAAACGGTTAAGGGATAATAACTTTTCTCTTATTATCTCTGATAATTCCCACACTTGGGGAAGCAAAAATTAGCATGTGAAATTTTCTGGTAACATAAACATCTTGGTGACAGCAAGAACAATGAGTAAAAAAAAATTTCAGCAACATCTTTGACCATGCTGCCATGTGGAGTTTACATCCTAGAATTTGTTCACCATATTCATGCTACTTTTTTGCTTCCTCAAGTGCAGAAATTATCAGAGCTCAACATAGAAAGCTTATTATATTTTAAAATACCATAATATAAATAGTATGATAGATTAAATACTAAAAAAACTGTAGTGGCTCTTGGAATGTCAGTCTGCCAACAAATCAGCTGCCTTGCTACAAATTAACCCTGGGCCTCAGTTGCAAGCTTCAAGTGAACAGACTATAATAAATACATATACTCTAAGGTACACTCACTAAAAGATTATTCTGCACCTTTACGAGGTTATACAATATGACACACCGGACCAAGAAATCTGTTAACACTCATCACGGCTTCTGTCACAGTGATCGTTGCAGATGGTTTCAGAGCCAAGGGTGTAGAATATATTTTTAGTGAATGTACATGTGTGTAGTATGGGAGGATGAACTATTGAAATGTGAGTTAATTGTATAATAATACATAACTTTACCACACAAATTCTTGAAATGGTCTGAAATTGCAGAAATTCTAGTAATAATGTACCAAGCTTTCACCACCCTCTTCCGTCTTCAAGTACAGTACAGGGTATAGCTGTACTTCTAACTATATGGACCGCACACTTATCCAATACTTACCCTACCAGAAATGTTTATATTCCTTTATCTAGATACTGTACACACTACTACAAGTGATATCTCCATTAGTCAGAATCCCTCAAACGTGGAAACCTCTGATAGCCGGAATTTAAATTTTCCCGGAAAATAGTTCCCAAAGCCGGAATTTTCCAGAAAATTCTGCCTTTGGGAAAAATTTTCTGAGGGGCACATTTTCCGGAAAATTCTGAGAAAAATTTCCTGATACCTGGAAAATTCCGGGGATAGAGGAGTTTTTTCCGGGTTTGAGAGATGAAAATCAGGATCATTTTCTAGAAATTCCAAGAAAATTCCAGGGATGAGGGATATTTTCCCGGGTTCGAGAGATGATGTAATGGGCAAATTTCTGGAACTTCCGAGAATTTTTTCTGTTACCGGGTTACCCAGAAAATTCCGGGGATGAGGGATTTTTTCCGGATTTGAGAGAGTCGTTTTGTTACCCGGAAATCTCTCATTTCCGGAAGTGCTCTGCATCAATTGTTCCGGCTAATGGGGATATCACTGTACTTTACTGTCACTCAGAATCGAGTATCACAATCATCCAGCTATGACACAATGATATGAGTTATTTGGGATGTCACCTTCGTTGGTGAGCTCTGAGGTGACTAAAGAGGCCGATACGGAACCGGCAGAGTAGTTCACATAAGTTGCATATGTAGGGGGGCTACATCGAGTTCGGGAGGGGCAGTGGCAGCATCTTTCCGACATTGGCACTTGTCTGCCTCAGTTTGCAGTCGGGCTAACTCGAAAGTATTGACACCTTCTCGTGTGGTGCTTCTCCAAGCGTTACAAGGTGGAGTAATCGACTCCCAGGTGAGGGGGTCGATTTGGCACTTTATCAGGTTTGTCTTAAGACTACCCTTATACCTTTTCAATTGCCTGCTGGGGTTATGTTTACTACAGGTGGACCATCAAAAATCCGGCAATCGATAAACCGGAACCTTCAGTTTTCCGGCATGGATTTCGGAGCGCATTTTCAAATTTCCTGCCTTGGCGCACCATTGTTTTCTGGACGCGCCCAGTGACGGGTTAAGAATTTCGTAGGCCTTAGGCACCTCCAAGATATGGGGCCCCATTTGACAGCATATTCACTAATAACACAAGCTAGTACCTAATTATAAAATGTGATGTCGAAAGAATAAGATTCAGTGATGTTTGCCATGAATTGAGTAAAAGAAAATGGGTTAGATCAGCTGTTCTTGTACAGTACAGAAATAGTTTTGTTTACAAGAAGCACAGCTAGCTGGTGGACACTAATAGGATTAAGTAATAAATAAATGGAAAAAAAGTACCTCAGTATCAATTTAATAATAACCTGTAGAAAAAGGGGAAGAAAAGTTCTCATTTTATTTTTCGTAGGCTCCCAATATCTCGTAGGCTCACGTGCCGTTTTTGTTTTGATAGCGCTGTACTCCAGAATCAGCTGTTGGGCTTTGCTTGCACCTGCTAACAAGCATTCATGCTCATTCCTTCTGATTTTATCATTTAATTGCTGCTGTATAGCCCCATCATGGATTCAGCAAAGAAAAGCGGTGGCGTAAAAAGTAAACATCGTGCGTTGTCGATCGCAGAGAAAGTGGAAGTGCTTAAAAAACTTGATAGCGGTGTGTCTGTGCGAACCATTTGTGAAACATACAGCATCGGCTCTTCAACAGTGTATGATATTAAAAAACAGAAAGAAAAACTGTTAAAGTTCTTTTCTGACAGTGGATCAAAAAGGAAAATGTTTGTAAGGAAGTCAATGTCGGAGGGAAAAAGTGCGGAACTAGACCAAGTTCTCATAACCTGGTTTAAACTTCGTGTAAATGAAGGTGTGGAAATTTCTGGTGATTTATTAAAGGAACAAGCCAAAGTGTTTCATGAAGAGCTGGGATTGCAACACAAGTGTGACTATACAGAAGGTTGGCTGCAACGTTTCAAGTCGCAACATGGCTTACAGTTTCGTGCAGTATATGGTGAAAAATGTTCAGCAGACAAGGATGCAGCTAGTGCCTATGTGGATGAATTTGCAAAGTTAGTTAGTGATGAACATTTAAGTCCTGAACAAGTGTACAATGCTGACGAGACTGCCTTATTTTGGAGATGTACGCCAAAAAGAACTCTGACAACTGAGGATGCAGAATCGCCATCGGGGTTTAAAGCTTCGAAGGATCGCGTCACGGTAATGTGCTGCTCTAATGCTGTGGGTACCCATAGATGTAAGTTGCTTGTTATCGGAAAAAGTCCGGAGAGAAATGCCTGTACAGGTAGTGATGAAGATGAAAGCAGTGAAGAAAATGAGGAAGATGTGAGAGACAGAATCTCTATTGACAGGTTAATTGCGTTGACAACTGAACTGCTGGCTGGACTAGAGCAACGAAGTTTTGTAAGTGAACAAGAAATCATGAATGTTTTCTTGCTCCAAGATAAACTTATTAAAGAAAGACCCAAGTATATGAAGTAACAGACATTGCCCGATATATTCAAGAAAATAGCTAGGAAGCAGGAAAAAGCAACAGCGGTGTCCACACTTGATAATCCACTGCCATCAACTTCAAGACAAGTTGAAGCTGTTCCTGTTGCTGAGGATGTTGTCACTGTCAGTGATAAAGATGATAATCCTGACAGCCAATCTGCTGTTTAGCCTGATAAAAATTAAAATTTCATTTGATTTTCATTTAGTGTTTAATTTTCTATTTTTTTAAAGGACTGTACAGGTAGTAATTTTCTGTTAAATATTCTGTATACAGCCTATATAATAAAATTTCATTTGCTTTTCATTTAGTGTTTAATTTTCTTTGTTTAAAGGACTGTACAGGTAGTCATTTTCTGTTAAACTTATACAGCAAATATAACCATCAGTTTTCTGGCATTTTCGAAAATCTGGCACTCCTCAGGTCCCGAGGTTGCCGGATTTTTGATAGTCCACCTGTATTCGTTAAGTGATTGTAAAGTAGCTGCTTTGGCAGTCTACTTTCGTCCATGCGGGTAACATGGCCAGTCCAGCGTAGCTGTTCATGGATAATGGTAGCCTCTCTGGTGGTGTCTGGTATTTGTTCTCTTGTCTTCCCAGTGAACCGCGGAGGATGGAGCGTAGACTCGTTGGTGAAAGATTTTTCAAGTTCTTTGAGTTGCCTCCTTATGTGACCATGTCTCGTTGCCGCCATGTAACTTTGTAGATAATATAAAACCACCATACAGAACATGGTTTCAGAGTCTGCCAAGGCGAAGATGCACATCGATCCATTCTGAATTTCACCATCGAGGGTATTACCATTAAACTGGATGGATGGTGGAGAAATCTGTCACGAACCACGGGCAGGTTGAAGAATATGAGTCTTACCCATTCACAAGGCAGAATGCATCACACGCATCTCACGTGAGTATTCAGGATCTCATAGGCTCATGTTCGTGCTGACAAAAAAGGATGAGTCGTCTCCACTACTGAAGTTCAGTAATGGGCTGATGTATCACCAGTAGTCTTATGTTGAAAAAAGACCCTTCATCAGTACTAAAATGTCCCCCAGCCTGACTAAATTGGCACTATCAGGTGGAAGGCAACAAAATGGAAAGGTTATCAATAAAGACCATGTTTATTTAGGATTGGGAAGAAACTCAGACCAGGTGCCATTATCAGGACACAATTATTCCAGTAGTTGCCTTACAGTGATGAATTCAGTGGAAACCAAAAACGAGGTCCACAAAGGCTTCCCTATTGACCCGAAACCATATGGTTAGTCGATGGCCATAGTCAATATTCTCTTTCCTGTATCTGGCGGGCAGCAAAAGATCATGTGGTACTTAAGATTCTGGGACAGAAAGTCTGTTAGGAGGACTCGGGCGATATCTCAGCTCAGCAAATCACGGGCCACACAATCTGACCCGGTCTCCTTGACCTCATCATGGCATCTTTAAGAGCTTGGGGATTTCCTCCTTTTCCATATATTCTCCAGGAGAGTAGAGCCCGATTTGCTAAGCAGGAATACCAACACTGAGCTGGTTCATCACCCTGAGGCTTTGTTATTTTTAATTTGTTTGATGGCCTACCTCATCAAGGGATGGAGGATAGCCAGGTGGAGTCAGCTCCCTGGGTGCATGAGGATCTGCTGGGTAGTCAGGACCATCCCACATCATTTACGTTCAACAAAATGCCAGGCAGTACTCTTTCCCTGAAGGAGACTTCATTGTCTTTAATAATGGGAGCAACCGGATGAGCAGTGTGCTCGCCGATAATTAGCCCAACGTCCTTTAGTGGAATTGAAAACGCGCCCTCTTGTTTGATTTGCATATTTTTTGTGTTTCAAATACATTATTTTAAACCAGTCTCTCTAGATTGCAAAGTTCAGCTGGGCATCTGCTTTCTCCTACGGAAGGTATCAGCTTTGGTCAAGACTGAGGTTGTTCCGCCAGTCAGTTGGCAGAGTGTTAAAACCTCTTCTGGAAGCTTGCTGCCACCGTTTAGGCGGCGTAAGAAGAGCTTGGCTCTGCGAGCCGATTTTTCAGTGTTGTTGCAGTGGTCTGAGCCACCTTGCGGTAATGAGACATCTCGCCGATATCTTTCTCCGACAATACAGTCAAATGAAATCCAGATGTTTGGATAAATGGGTGTTACCCACGAACCCTCGAAACTTATAGGCCTGCTAAACAGTGTGGTGATAGTAGGTTGGGTGCAGCTCTGCTGAGGAGGTAAACCGTTGGGATTACACTTACCTAAACCATTTCTCCCTATAGTCCCCTACAAATGTCAGCATCTTTGCCAGCTCTGGCATCTGCTCACCAAGGGCACAACCTTGTCTTCTATGGGGATAGATGTTAGCACCTCCATTGGTGCGTAAAAAGGCCTCCTTGATATCATCCTCTGCATCCAGTGTTTGCGTGCCTGATGACATGACGTGGATGATTCAGTGGGACTCAAAGCATCATGACGCTAGTTGATCCCCAATAGAGCATTTAATTATCACCTGTATAGGATCGTTGGTAAGCAAAACCCAACTCCATAAACTCGGTTTCCCTCCGCCACCAGGCTTACCTTCAGAAGAAGGTATAGCCAGACCCCAGTTCTGTGAGTAGAACTTCTGGGAGCCAGGACTCACTAATGGCTGCTATGTCAATGTTATACCTAGCCAGCTCTTGCAAAACTACCAGTTCTTCTTTCAGGATGCTCATTTGTGCAGTATCACAGAAAGTCCTGACATTCCATTGCAGTGACCCACAAGAGATTATGTAGTTTTATTAGGATCTGTGATTTTGATTTTCTACCACAAAGGATGACTGCTGGTGATTTGAGTGGTTTTTTAGGCAGGCTATCTTGGGGCACCTTTTCTAAGCCCCCCCCCATGCGGTGAGAGAGTGGCTCCTCAAGAAGGCTGCTCAATCGCTGCCAGACAAAAATCGGATTGCACTGCTACCTAGATCAGTGCATAAACACCATCTTATCTGTGCACGCCCATGTGCAGAGTTGCGACTGTGCCTGTCCCGTAGCCACTCGTCAGTCGCCATAGGACTTTTTTGGTTATAGGGGTTTGATGATATGAGAGGTATGATGAGCTGGATGATGGCTGCCGTGAGTTGATTTTGTGGTGAGACAGAGCGCGAAGGCTGCAACCACCTACAAAGCTCTCCCTTTCCTGATCCAGTAGTCAAGTGTTGCAACATTGACTAGAAGAAAGAAATTAAATGGACTGCGATAGCCCTACCGTTTGTTGGGTTTCACGCCTAGTAGCCTGTCCATCAGGCATCTGCCTTAGATCACGATAGCAATAGTTGGGTTCCCCATATTGTATCTTTCTTCCTCTGCCCGTTAGGGTCTTATTAGAGCTGTGCAATCATGTCCTGGCTGATCTGGGAAACCCCAACGCAGAATTCACGCTCAAGGTTTTATTCCATAACCTTATACTTACCTGAGTTAATCCACAAGGCAGGGCAGTGGTTGGTGGCGCCAGGGCCGTGTCACATGCCAATGGGCCTATGCACCATCCTCTGGGGCCACTTCTACTAGATCCCCTGATCGGTGTAGCCTGGGCCCCAAGGCAACCAGTTACTGTGCTTGATGCCGGAGGCAGGCAGAGTCTTGATGGTGGGAGAGAAGACTTTGCAGCATCTTCCCCAACCAAAAAGAGCCTGGCCAGGCAGGAGCAAGCAGTGCTGCCTTAACACTGACATAATGCTGCCACACTACAGTAGATGCATGTCACCACCTAAACACAGTTAAAGTGGATAAGATATTCAAAAACGTTAGGTGCTGAGATACAGAATGTACACCAATTAACTGCAAAATAAAACTAGGTGGATCATTTAGTACTGTATTTGATACCGGATTACAATACCCTCCTTTGGTTCAGCGAGTAAGACTGACTGGCAATACCCAATACCACGATTTAAAATACCTATCAACAGCCACCTCATACAGTAACCCACCGATGATAACAATAAATATAAACATGTGAATATTTGTGTGTGAGTGCCACAGGTTGTTTTCTTAATGTAAAGCAAAAACTGCTAGTATGCAAACACTTACCAGGCCTTTAACTTTAACCACATTGTTTACACCATTCTATATGATGGGAATCGTAATTACATGTTTGATTAATGGTTTCATTAACTGGAAAAAGAATTTGCCTGGGTTCAATGAACATATAAAAGTTTTATTTGTGTATAAAATCAAGAACATAGCTTATTAAACTAACTGCCTTTGAAAACCTGTGTGTATTCAGAGGAAAACAGTGTGAGTTCAGGGAAAGAAAAGGATGTATTGTATATGGTTGACCAAAGAGATAGTAGAATGGGCTGAAGGATGGATATCAAGGAAGCATCGCCCAAGGAACTGTCAAATGTTCTTGTGGAAGTATAAGCAACTCATGGGTAATGCTAGGTAGTGTGTAGCAGCTGGGGTAAAATGGCTGAATACACCGTTTAACCTTTCATTTATATTCTAAATAAAATTAAAACAATTACATTTATACTGTTAAACCATTCTCCTGCACTCTGATTACTTACACCTCTCCCTCTTTAGAGCTTCTATACCCATTAAGCCATCTCAAAGTTTAGTTCATTTTGCTTCCAAAGTCTTCATGTCTTTGTCCAAAGCTTCAGGCGACAACACAGTCCTGTACTGCTCTCGTGGATCCCATATCTTCCACTGGACTCTGAAAATATAAACTTCATTGTAATCCTCTACAAACACAATATATATATATATATATATATATATATATATATATATATATATATATATACGACTACGTGGACTTAAGATCATAGGACTTGACCACCTCAGATATAAAAAAAAAAAAAAAAAAAAATTTAAATACATTTTCTATACAGAAACGTTTCCAGTTAATGTAGTCTCCATGTATAATTAGAAAATTATAGAGGGCCCCATGTGCATTCCTCAACTACATTAAAGGTTAAGTATAAATCACACTATCATTCCTTATTTATTACTTTCACTGTACCATATCCATTCATCTTATTCATTACTTTTTACTGTACTGTATTTCATTGTGAATTTTATTAAAAAAAAAAAAAAAAAAAAAAAATTTTATCTATAATGACTTACGACCTGGATTTGGGTCCCTAACGTCGTAGAATGTGAACCATATATATATATATATATATATATATATATATATACAATAAATAACACCAAACAACACACCAATATATACTATATCACACACCTACATATATACATGCATATATATATATATATATATATATATATATATATATATATATATATATATATATATATATATATATATATATATATATATATATATATATATATATATATACACTACAAGGTTAATACCTCCTCCAGTCCATGGTCCGAACTCCATGGTCAGGAACGGTTTGACTAATACGTAGAATGAGCTTTTTTTTTTTTTTACTTCTCTCAATTATTATCATTATTACAGGAGTATTAAATTTTTGCACCTCAGGCCCCAATGTGAGTCAGTGACCTATGCCCGGGTGGGCTAATCCCCGTAAAAAAAAAACAACAAAGCCGCGGGAAATTAAGGTTTGTTTACATCCGGCAGTTCGGCGGCTCTCTCTCTCTCTCTGCTCGTCTATACAGAGTACAACATTTAACCCTTCAATATATATGAGCAGTAAATAAGTGTTGCTTTCATATTCTTATGTAGAGTAATGACGATATGTTTTCACATGTGCGCACTTACACACGAGCAGCCTCACTTTTTTTTACCATTAATGGTTAGCTACTTATATTGTTCCATTTATCAACATTAAATAACATTACAGGTACAGTGGTCCCTCGGTTAATGAGCGCCTCGGTTAACGAGATTTCGGTTAACGAGTTACCTTCCATAAGATTCTTAACTTCGGTTAACGAGCAATCCCTCGACTAACGAGTTTCTTACGAGCCGACCTCAACATGTTTTCGCTTGCACTTGGCGGTCCACCAGCTGTAGTATTAGTCCGCCAATACAGTAATCGGTTCTAGGGCTTAAATTCCTTACTATATTAGTAAATATCAAGAAGTTTATACTATTCAATAATTTTAAAAGTTTAATATTAAATCTTTTAGTCATTTTAACAATTATTGAACATAATTGAAGGTAAGGAAACTAGTTTCTGACGCGCCATCCAGCCTGTCAACACACCAAACAGGCGCCAATCTCTCCGTCTTTTCAGTGGAGGTAACATCTTGCTTGAGACTCTCCAACTAAATGCTTTTTTTCTGTGTTTCCAAGCAAATTATTGGTCATTTTGAAATTAATTTTACATATTGACAATATATAATGCAGTGCAGTGTTGATTTAAAGAAAATAATCTTGAATTACACCAAGAGAACTAAAATTTTATGGGTGAAATGGCACCATGGGGTGACTTCTCTTCCACCCCAATGCCTTCTCTTCTCCCTTCTCCTCCACCCCCATTCTAATTCCCATCATCATCATCATCCAGGAGCCTTCTACATACACACCTCAAAATAAGTGTACTTTTCTCCCTTTTTTGTTGAATTTTGGTAATTTTCGGTGAGCTGGAACCAATTACCCAAAAACCCATTGAAGTCCCACTGTATGTATGTTTTAATTTTCACTGAAGGGAATGTTTTCTTTACCCTTTTTGTTGTCTTTTATTCATGTCTAAAATAAAAATATGTGCACATTATCTAAAATACATGTATGGGCAAACATTCATTGTCGGCTTGGGAGTTCAAAATGAATAATTTTGCAGTAATAATCAATGTAAGTCAATTAAAATATTTATTGATTAAAAGATAAGATATCCTTCATATTGAGACCAGAAATAATTGACTTCACACTATAAATTAATTTTCAGGAGAATAAGATTTATTCATTGCTGTGTTAGGCAAACCAACAATATATTTAAATTTGTTGGTGGTTAGCCTAATGCAGCAATGAATAAATCCATAACAAAAATCATAAAAATTTAATTACAGCCTCTTAACTTTAAGATAAATTTAAAAAATTATAATTAACAAAAATAAAGTACTGTACAGTAAAAATAGATATAAGAAAATTCTTACCTCCTCCAAGAGATTCCAGCTATGTCTAATATCACTGAGAATCATCATGAGTTCTTTCTTTTTGTGTAAAAATGTTTCTGCAGCTTCACCCATCTGCTGAGGGGGAGGTCCCTGAGCCTCATCAACGTGGGGAACAGCCTTGAAAAACTTTGACCATAATTCCAATATTACAGCTGGTGGCTGTAACAGGTAAGCATCAAGGAGTTACAATCATCTGGATAAAAATAATTTTTTTCTTGTACTCATCATCAGTGTTTCCATACCACTAGGCTGTACAGGGGCCCCCCAAATTCGCGGGGGTTAGGTTCTCAAAATGGCCGCGAATCGCCAAATACGCAAATAACATTTGCGGACCGGGGAGGGAGGTTACATTTTTACTTGTGTACAAAGAAATGCATATTCCCTTAATGTGTTTGCCCTTAGGACAATTATTTCTTATACCTGTAGTATTGTATTTGTGTGTGTGTGTGTAGACAGACACACAAAACACATACAAATAAATAATAATTGGAAAATCCTCTCACAAATAATCATTAACAAATTTATTAAAAATGTGACAGTCTACCCTCAAGTCGTGCTCTATTAATAAAGTACGTACTGTAATAGCGCACGGACTTGAGGGTAGACTCACATTTTTGATAAATTGGTTTCTGATTATTTGTGAGAGGATTTTCCAATTAATTATTATTTATTTATTTGTATGTGTTTCACGCACGCACGCACGCACACACACGCACGCACGCACGCACACACACACACACACATTTACAATACAGGTAAAGGAAATTACTGTCTCTAGAATGAATGGCTCCCTGTCCGAGCCACAAATATGACCGGCAACTTTAAAACTACCCACAGACATTCTTGGTTACATCCAGGGTATCAACCGCGAATGACCAAAAACCTCGAAGTAAAAATACGTGAACTTGGGGGGCTACCTGTTTTATAAATGTCAAAATTAAAACAAATATCAAAGTAAGGGTTAAAACTTTCATTAAAATATCAAAAAAAAAAAACAATGCATAATCTGAAATTATAATTGACATATACAGTATTTCAATGTTTGGGCCACTCAAGAGTCTCCTCATACTAATTTGGTTACTATATAATCCTCATTTATAACATTTTCTCTAAGACCCACCAAAATCTGACTCTCTACCTTCATAATTGTATAAGCATAGCAATATCTTACTTTTATATAAATGTGAAGGTGGTATCTAATTCTGTATTTAAAAATGTACACTCGTCACAAAAATGTCTTGAACAGCTGGGCACGACAGACTTCAGAAGGAGTACTATGGCTTGTCATCTCAGAACGATTGGTATGTCTGGTTGCTAAATGACTCATTTCATAATAATATGTGTTGCTCATCATTTTTGTATTTACAGGTGAAAAGAAGTAACTTAATTTGTAATAAAACTTCCCCAGTGAGCAATGTTCACATTTTTCGTTCGTTTTGTCATATTGTATGACCCTTTGAGCATTCGAGAACTTTTTGTGGAGAGTGTACATTTAGTAAATCTTAATATAGAGAAATTAAAAAAAAATTATATAGCAATGTACTATACATACATAGCTCAAGTCTAATCCACAAAATAAGACTGCTTCACACTCGATCATCTCTGTGATAGTAAATCCTCGATGATATTAAATTAACAACTCATAGTTTAGCTACTCTCAAGGTTTTTCCTATTTCTCTCCACATTGATCACATTATTAAGGGCAAACCTAATATTCTGTAAGCAATTACATGTTCCCTAATTTGTAAATTCCATAAATCGAAAAGGTACCTACAGTATACTGTTTTTAAACACATATCATCCATAAAATTCCTTTTCTCAAACATACACTTTATTTGGGTATCAGTGTTCTTATTATCCTATTACATTACAGTAGTTTCATTTAATGGTGCACAGCTATTAGAAAATCACATATGTATGTGTACAGCAACAGTTTTTACATTAAGCCACCATATTCGGAGTCCTACCGGATCCAGGTTTATGAGGTTATGATGTACAGATAGAAATCCACATTAATACTTTAGTCACTTTCACCAACAAAAGCCAATGTGATATGCTTATTTCCAGTAGAATCTTTATGCTAACAAGACCCAACATCGCTTGATTTCGCTGCTCAGGCAAGAAGAGATGTTTTCAATGTGAAATTATCCTTATTTTTTTGCCTTCCCTTTCTACAATACATACGGTAATTATATTCTTGAGATAATTCAATAAAGTTATAAAACTTCTACATCTGCACTTTAATTTTTGCCAAAAAATTACATAACTTCACATCATGATATTTTACATCTAATGTATAAGCTCACCAAAAACTTTTTGAACGCTAAAAGCACTATACCATCTGAAAAATGAACAAAGAATCCGAAACTATTCCCAGATGTCAAGCCCCATTCTGCTCATTCGCACAGCCATCATGCCCAGGTGTTCGATAAGTTTTTGTTGAGCGTGTACAGTCCCCTTCACTTCTGCATTTACAGGATCTAGCCAGGTTTTGTGAAATGTGACAGCACTGCGTTTGTTTATACAGGTTGTACCTCTCTAGTCCGGCATTCTGTGGTCCGGAAACTCCCGTGGTCCGGAACGATTTTAGTTTGTCCAATAGGTAGATTGGCAGCTTTTTTTTTTTTTACTTATCTGAATTATTATTATTATTATTATTACAGGAGTATTAAATTTTTGCCCCTCAGGCCCCAATGTGGGTCAGTGACCTATGCGGGTCAGTGACCTATGCCCGGGTGGGCTAATCCCCGTAAAAAAACAACAACAAAGCCACGGGAAATTAAGGCTTGTTTACATCTGGCAGTTCGGCTGCTCTCTCTCTCTGCTTGTCTATACAGAGTCTATACATTTAACCCTTCAATATATATGAGCAGTAAATAAGTGTTGCTTTCATATTCTTATGTAGAGTAATGACGATATGTTTTCACAAATGCGAACTTACATACGCGTAGAAAACAGTGCGTTAATGTTCGAAATAAGGCAAACAGAGTACGGGTATTGGGTTTTATATCTAGAAGTGTAAGTAACAAGAGTGCAGAGGTCTTATTGCAACTTTATCTTGCGCTAGTCAGGCCGCACCTCGATTATGCGGTTCAGTTCTGGTGCCCCTATTATAGAATGGATATAAATTCAATAGAGTCGGTGCAGCGAAGAATGACAAAAATGATCCCGGGACTTAGAAACCTTCCATATCAGGATAGGTTAAAGAAACTTAACTTGCATTCCCTAGAAAGACTAAGAGTGCGGGAGATATGATAGAAGTATTTAAGTGGGTGAAAGGAATCAATAAAGGGGATATAGATAAAGTTCTTATAATATCCGAGCAGGATAGGACTCGGAGCAACGGATTCAAGTTGGATAAGTTTAGGTTTAGGAGGGAGATAGGAAGAAACTGGTTCACAAATAGGGTGGTGGACAAGTGGAACAAGCTTAGCAACTTGTAGTAAGTGCGGGAACTCTGGAAAGTTTCAAAAGGAGGCTAGATAGATTCATGGATGATAGAGTGGTAGTAACTCTTGACAGGAGCTGCCATGCACAGGCCAACCGGCCTATTGCAGACTCCTTATTTTCTTATGTTCACTATTTTTTTTACCATTAATGGTTAGCTACTTATATTGTTCCATTTATTAACATTAAATAACATTACAGGTACTTCAAACAACCATATTAATTTTTTTACATTAATTTTACTACAGCTACAATCAGGATCTTATTTTCTTCAGTTTTATATGTAGAACCAATCAGTCACTGGTTTTGTAAGTTTTAACAAAAACAATGCCGGCAGCCGTCTCGTCTCTCGTGTGTTTTAATATTCCACGTATTATTAATAAATTGTATTGTTAATTTTGCACACACAAACATTAATTCAATAAAAACAAATTCAGAAACATTAATTAAAATATATATGAACCGTAAATAAGTGTTGCTTTCATATTCTTATGTAAAGTAATGACGATATGTTTTCACGTGTGCGCACTTACATACGCGATCTCTCTTTTTTCTTTACCATTATTGTTAGCTACTTCTATTGTTCCATTTATTAACATTAAATAACATTACTTAAAACAACCATATTAATTTTACTACAGCTACAACCAAGGTCTTATTTTCTTCAGTTTTATATGTAGAACCAGTCAGTCACTGGTTTTGTAATCAATGAAAACAATGCTGTCTCATTTCCTAGTGTTTTAATATTCTACGTATTATTAATGAATTGTATTGCTCATTTTGCACACTCAAACATTAATTCAATCAAAAAGACTTTCAGTAATAAACAATAATGAATCTTTTGTACATAAGAGAAATGACGCTGTTTACAGATTGTGCCCGTCATCTGAACGTTGGTGGGCCATTCAAACCCGTTGAAATTCGAGTTTCCGCCGTCAAAATTTTTAAATGTGTTGTTTTTTTGTGTGTTCAAATAGAAAACGTCGAATTAAAAACTCGCGAAATTTGAGAAGCTACTGTACGACATTTAACCCTTCAATATGTCTTCAAAGAGACCATGAAGCAGAGAAAGTGGTGCTAGTGCTTCCAAGCCAAGTCACTATCTATCCAGGAAAAGGGTGAATTTCCATGGTCCGGAAATTTCCATGGTCCGGCACCGGTCAGGTCCCGAGGTTGCCGGACTAGAGAGGTACAACCTGTACTGTATTGTATAGTATAGTAAAACTATCTAATTGGACTGAAGCAACCTCACATAGTAGCCTGACTAAGGATTCAAAATAAGTAGTATTTCTGGCATGTTTATAGTTTTAATAAAGAGTGCACCAAATAAGGGCATTAATAACGCCTATAAGCTGTCTGGTTAAAGGCGTTACGGAGAGGTGATGTGACGTAAGGTGTTCACACACTAAGATGAATACAGTTAAACAAATAGTAAATTTTAAAAGTAAATAAAGAGAAAAGTATCACATCAGAGAAGAAATTTACCTTTCTAAGTTTTAAAGCTTTCTCAATATCTGTGAGAGCTTCCTCAGCCTTACTGAGCATCCGTTCTGATATCCTTTCTGGTGCCACTTTTTTGGGGTCTGAAAAACAAATAGGATTTCTTTAGGGAGTATAAATTCCATGGAGTGAATGAAGTGTGGAAAGAAGATGTAACTGTGTACAGTACTGAGCTTTGTGAAGTGTGTCAAAATTATGAAGGACTAAAGTACAAGGGTGCTGTGGACATAATATAAGTGGATTGTGGAAGAGAGATTACTTTTATATTAGGTTGGTTGATTGATCGATTGGGTAAAATATCTGGTGTCACAGCCTCTTTATATTAGGCTACAATATCCATGATGGCTACAATATTCACACTGACTGCAATATGCACAATGAAATTTCTTATGAGATAATACTGAAGTCAGGGATAAAATATTTTTTGTGATTCATCATTTACTGTATGAGTTATCTATACAGTATATCATTTATTATTTATTTTCTTATGCATATACTGTATTATCTTTATTAATTAGTTCATATATTGTACTGCTGTACTTAACATACTTCTGCTCTCAGATCTGATACACCCACAATTGTCCTTAATTTTGATTCAGTGAAAGGACAGAAGGCTTTGGGGTTTAATTGGGGCTTGGTTGCTAACTGCTTCAGGACCTGTCTTTCCACCCTTATACATTCTGACTTATCGTAGTTTGAATTCTGAACCTAGGTTCCATCACTCTGCCCTGCCCATCATTAGTGAAAGACAATATCACATGATGGCACTGGAGGCTGAACCTTCTAATTTGGCCACCATTACTTCCTCATTGGTTATGATGATATCCAGTTGTTTGGGTATTTGTTCACCTGTATAGTAAGTCTGATCTTTAACATGCTGGACTAGAAAATTCCCCCCACCCCCTCAAATTTTCTAAAAAAGATTTGCAAAGTTACCAAGGACTGATGTGTTATCATTACTCCAGCTATACATGGTACTGGGTATTACCATAACTAAAATCTCCCATTAAAAGAAGTTGGAAAGAGTTTAGTGCACCATTCTACTGTCTACTAAGGATCTCAAATTCTGTGATCTATATATGCACCTAATAATGAGTGTGTCTCTTCCTATCAGATTAATATTACACCTCACCTGATTGGCTCTAAGGTCCTTTCTAAATTATACGTGAGCAATAATATTTTGGGAATTTCCCAAGGTTATCTATGATTACATACCATGGAATGTGCAGGTTGGAGGGAAGGAGGGATTTAATGTCATTTTAAAGCAAGTTGACTGCAAGAATCCTGGATCCTCCACTGATACAACTCCTTACAAATACAGAAGCAATATAATGATTATTGAAACAAAACACAAAAAACTTAATAAGGTTCTCACCCAGTTTCATCACAGATATTTGCTTCATGAACATTTTCCTGTTGAGGATGAGCTTCATCAATAGTTCAGTTCTTGGGTCAAGGGACTGCAGCTCACTCTCACTATCACTATCTTCTATTTCTTCTTGATCCACACCACCTATGACAAGTTTACAGATATTCTAATAATATTGCAAAATGATCAAACACAACACATCATTATCCCAATAAAGGCATCTGAAACCAAATTGTGATGAGAGCAGCATTTTTTTTTTCAGAGTACTGTAATTCTATTGGCAACTTCATTATTTTTATGGCTATTTTCCACACATGTATGATTTGGCTGTGATTATCTGATGGTATGGTGTTCTGGTTGCCATCAGGCAAAATTGAAGCAAATTTTACAGCTGGATGCCCTTCATATTGTCAACCCACTGTTACAGAGTGGGAACTAGACATTATATACAGTACTGTATAAGACTTCCAAGTATTATCTTAGCTGGCAAAGCAAGGTCAGAGCTCCCTGAGGTAATCAAAGATTACCCACCTACACAATCACCTGAGATAAAAAAAATATATATACAGAGAAAAACATATACTGTAAGTACCTGTATAAGGTAAAAAGCATACTTGCTAAAAATATTGTTAAGTTCAGGCAGCTGGAAACAGCCCCAGCAGTGCTAGGGCCAGAACAGCACCTGGTCATCATTTACTGTTTGATGAATGTTCTGCTTACTGTTAGATATTTGACACTGGAAACTCTTAAAGGTATGTGAAGTCCACATGAATCATTCTTCTTTTGATTTGTGATAACCACATAAACACAAACTGACATACAGATATACAGACAATTATACAATTTTCATTACTGTGTTCAACATAACTGAAATTCATTTACTTCTGTACACTTAAACTTTGGCCAGTTTACTGATGTCATTACACAACATATAACATATATGGTCTACACTAGTGTCCTGTTCATCTTCTATCCACCTACCAATGGTTTAAAATCTGGCTATCTATTATTACCCCATCATCTTTACTCCTCTCCACTTCTATATAAGATGGATTGAGATAAATAAGCCTCAAGGCAGGGAAGAAAATGGTGCAGAGGAGTTGTAACAAGACATGTGGAGAAAACAACACAATATGTCTGAAACTAAGTAATTTACTGTACTGTACACCACCCAGAAGCCACAATTCTTGAACCTCCATATATTGTGAAGAGTAAAAAGTAAATCCTTAACCCACATTTAATTGAATGTGCATATCAGCTCGAGTTGTTGCCTCATTATTTTACATGTATTTTTCAATTTTTTTGTACATCTTCCCAAAATCTTTCTACGAAGGCACATGAAAATTATTCATTATTAACATCAACAGCCTTTTTTTTTTTTTAACAGGGATTAGCCCACCCTGGTACAGGTCACTGACCCACGTCAAGGCCTGGGAACAAAAATATAATAATAATAATTCTTTTACTGAACTTTTCTACTATCCAGTAACAATTCTTCCCCCCATACTTACCCTCTTGAAGGTAATATTTCCCAGGCTGGGGTACAAATGTATCTCTATTATTCCAACCGTTGTCTGTCTTCTCACGAAACTTCTTTTTGAAAGTTTTAACAGCTTCCTTAAGGCCACTTTCTCTCTTAGCTTCCCAGTCACCCTCCTCACCCTGCAAATATGGCATTGAATGGTTTATGGATGTACCGATGGGTGTGTGATGTCATGGCGATACATTAAGGAAAACAGGAATATACAAAACAAAAAGCAATGGTCAGTATGGCACAGTCTAACCTGCTATGAATTACAATAAAAATTATGACCTAAAGAAAACTTGTGTTTAACATCACCTCTTCTTCATCATCATCGTTTTATCTCTTTAGTTATGCAAATAAAATCTTCCCCTCATCATTATAATGCACCTTAAAAGATAAATTTACACCTATGTAATTTTACAAACCTCTTGACCAAACCGAGAGAAGACAGCATATCTACCGTTGAGCACAACGATCTGCAGGACTAAAAACTTGTTACCATTCTTATCATCTGGAAGAATCAGTCTACACGAGTAGTCTTCATGCACTTTTGCCTGGAAACATTCAAAGAAGAAAGGTACTGGTAAGTCATTAATGCTGGTGTAATGGTCAAGAAAATTCCCTCCTTATCACTATGGTTACCGTAATAATTTACATGACAAGGAGTTTCACTCAACAGAGTTAGACACCAAATGACCTTGTCCTTGCTAGGTATAATGACAATAAACATAGTACTTATACTTATCATTCTGCAACATACTTTATACTCTACACTATCCTCTTTGCCACTGATCGGCTCGTTAGCCGCTTGGGTGGTCAGTCATGTCTCTGTTACCTATTGCTGGCAAATACTGTACAGAACTGGTCATGTACTGATTCAAGAATGTATCTGAACCTTTGCCAGTGTTGGTCAAGTCTGGTCTTGAATGACCTCACACTTGGTGCCATATGCTCTCTGGCAGATTGTTCCAAGAGTGTTTTCAACTCACACACCAAAAAAGTTTGCCCTGACAGCTTTCTGAACTTGTGGCTTCTTTAACCTTAAGCATGGGCACAATATTCCAATAAGCAATGGGTGGTTGTGTTCAAGATGTGCATTGTGAACGGAGTGAAAGCAATTTTAATTCACAATAATTAGGATTAATGTTGGCTACTAAGTGTTCTAACACAGCCAATTCTTTTGGATAATTATACCTCACATGTTTTCCTCCTCGTGTTATTAACCTCACTTGGACCAAAAGGATAATGATACTTTCTGATTAGGCTAGACCAACAGTGATGTATAGTTAAGTACCTATACAGTACAATACATTCAAGAGCTTAAGTTTGTTCAGTAGCTGTTGACAGTGAAATCCAAAAAGTAAGTGCCCAATTTAACATACTGTACGGATTAGTAGACTAACAAAGGGATTAGTAAAAAAAAATCATACCGTATTATTTGTTTTGCTGCGAATTATAGCATCAGGAACAGGGACAGTTTTACCCTTTGGCTGACATGAAGAATGTCCTGCCTCATCTCGTTGACGCTTAGGTATGGCTGGCCTGAGAATAATATACTGTATTATTGCCTCATTAAAGATACAGTACTGTATACTAAAGGAAGAAAATAATACAATGAAAAATAATCTAATAATAAACTGGAAATCATTACACACAAGAATAATTAAGAAAGACTTAAAGGATGAGTGGCATGGTGAAGGTCACTAGAGAAATAAAACTTAGAAAAAGAGTGAATGAGAATATGAAAGACAATACAATACTGGACAGTATTACATTTAAGAATCAAATAATTTAACAAAAGAACTGATGAAAGAGAATTTACAGATACCCAGTAGATGACGTGTTAAAGTTTGGGTAAGCATATGATAAAAGACTTTCATAAATACCACACACAACATTGACTTAACTGGTCAAGATCCATGTAGATATATGTACTGTACTGTATAAGAAAAATGACAAGATGACCCCTGCCACAGGTATTGTGTTACATCTGTAAAATATTTTAAAATTTTCTCATTACTTTAACAAACTACACAGAACCAATGGATTTCAGATTCAAATTTGCCCAGGGAGGGCAAAGCGCAAAAGTGTTTACAGTGCCCAATAGGGAAGCATGTGGAGTTCATGCTTGCCTTCATGACTCATGCATTAAAGATGCAAGCACCTGAAGAATCATGGGTTTTGTCAGCAAGTTACATACATAGTGACAGATTGATGAGTGTGTGTGGGGGGGGGGGGTTCTCAGTACAATTTATCTGTTTATGGCAAAGCGTAGCAGGCCTGTCTTTCGGAGGAGGGATATTTGATCAAAGAGGGATGAGGTGCTCGTAATGGCTGGGGACTTGTAGGAGGAGGTCATCGGAAGAGTGAGGATGTAGTGAGAGAGGGTGTGATTCAGGTTGACCAATGGACATCATATGCCTACTGCTACAGTTGACCTTCTGACCTTCAGTTGTGACCCTGACTTTGACAATGAATTGAATTTGGAGTTCTGCACTTCATTTACTGGTGAAACATATTCTTATAAAGCTTTCTCTAAATGTACACACTGTACCTGTGTTCATTCATGAGCTATGCCCAGGACATGATCTTACCACTGACTTCAACAGACTTGAATTTGAGTTTCAGCACATTACCATAGCCATTCAGGATAAGTTTTGTCAAAATATCAGTACTGTACCTATAATTGTAGCCATTCCAAAAAGCTATGCTCTAAACAAGGATAAGTTTAATGATGATGGGATTTTCTCAGACACACATTGTTTTCACTGAGCATCTAAAAAGTGAGGGATACAGTATACTGTACTTGCTTCTAATATAATTTCACCTTGAGCAAAAAATACAAGAAAAATGAAACAGTTAAGGGTACAAAAATATACATTAAAATGGCTCAACTTCTGTGAACAAAATCAAGTTCACCAAATTGGACTTAAGAATAATAATATACCAGTCTTAAAATTCCCACTTTCAGTACAGTTTTATAGCAACGAATTATATGGATGAATCATATGTACAACAACTTCCTTCACACACACACACACACACACACACACACACACACACACACACACACACACACACACACACACACACACACACACACACACACACACACACACACACACACACACACACACTCTCTCAAGGTAACTCACAAGTCACCATACACACAAAACACACAGCAACACTTAAAGTAACTCACAAATCACCAATGTTCCTCTTGCGTTTGGAAGCTCCATCTCTCTCTGAGTCTTCCATCTGAAATAAACAAGGATGTAGTCACAAATATTCAACACTACTATGGAAATAATATCAAGTTTAGAATACAGTACAGGTTTGGTTGATGCATGAAACACGGTACTGTACACTGCCTGGTGCATGTTACACGGTACACTACCTAGTGCAAGTTACACACGGTACACTACCTGGTGAATGTTACACACGGTACATTACCTGGTGCATGCTACACGGTACACTGCCTGGTGCATGTTACACGGTACACTACCTAGTGCAAGTTACACGGTACACTACCTAGTGCAAGTTACACACGGTACACTACCTGGTGAATGTTACACAAGGTATATTGCCTGGTGCATGTTACACACGGTACACTGCCTGGTGAATGTTAAACAAGGTACATTGTCTGGTGCATGCTACACGGTACATTGCCTGGTGCATGTTACACGGTACACTACCTAGTGCAAGTTACACACGGTACACTACCTGGTGAATGTTACACAAGGTACATTGCCTGGTGCATGTTACACGGTACACTACCTAGTGCAAGTTACACACGGTACACTACCTGGTGAATGTTACACAAGGTACATTGCCTGGTGCATGTTACACGGTACACTACCTAGTGCAAGTTACACACGGTACACTGCCTGGTGCATGTTACACGGTCCACTACCTGGTGCATGTTACACACGGTACACTACCTGGTGCATGAAAAACAAGGCAGCAACAAGTCAGCCAACACGAAGTACAGCATCTCAAGAGTGGGATGGTGTCCTTAGCTAGTAATCAATATGTTTAATATTCTGATCTAGGTCTTAATTACAAAGACCTACTGAATGACAGGCTGCACAATATTTGCTCTTGGATGTTATTATATGAGGGAAGAAATTGCTGATTACCGTAGTTAATTTGCTTTTAAATAAATATTGACTGGTTGTCAGGTATGGTGATGACAGAATGCACCTTTTTGCCGATGATCATAAACGGTTTCAACCCTTTCATGACGCAAAGTTCACTGACAGATCACACAGATAACAAAAACACACATGACATAGTTACACTATTAAGTTAAGTAGTTTAACACTCCCAATCCCGGTGTACACCCACTCTAAGATCTATAAAAGGGGGAAGTAGTCTATTTCCCCAGTTAAATTTACGACCCACTAAGTCCACTTTGAATAACACAATGAATATCTATGTAAGCTCTTCAGTTACTTACCGTATAAACGTGAATTTCAGGAAAGCAACTGAAAACTCCCTCCCTCGAACCTTCTACAGTCGTCACTGTTTCGGTCTGCCTGTTTGTTTGTTGTGTTTTTTGTAATTTTGTTCTTGACTACGTCTGGCAGCCTTAACTCAATCATCATGATATCGTACTTTTTTCCGGATTAAGCAATTATCTAGATATAACAGGATTTTTTTACCATGAAAATTAAATTAATGAAAAGGGAAATAAAAAGTTAGCACTCTATGTTGTTCACTATAAAGGGAAAAGCATTGATGTGTTACCCTGAATGACAGAAAATGTAGCTCCATTTAGTATGGGAGACTTAAAGAATATATATATATATATATATATATATATATATATATATATATATATATATATATATATATATATATATATATATATATATATATATATATATATCTTGATAAAATACACGGGAAAAGGAAACAACGGAGTACCTTAGCTTTCGTCTTTATTCAAGGTCTTGTTGAGCAATCACTCCGTTGTTTCCATTTTCCCGTGTGATTTTATCAAGATTTATCTTATCCACGTTTTCATTGCGGATTTACATGATTATATATATATATATATATATATATATATATATATATATATATATATATATATATATATATATATATGATTGAGCTAGTTGGTTCTTTGTGTGCATTTAATTCCCTATAATTGTCTCAAGAATGGGTGCTAAGTGTTAACACTGAAAATTTTAGGTGGATGGATATAGCTCTAGATAAAATTACTTTGTACAGTCGAGGGATCTTTTACAGACCAGTGGCCACCTTCCCCCGGCATGGCCACCTCTAGTGGGTGGCCATTCGGTAAAATAAGGTTCGGTTGTTTCTGGACGCAGTTAATTCATATATGTTCAGATCTACAGCCTTGATAGCCAAGAGGACGACTCTCGATCTTTGGTTAGTACTTTTACTTTTATCCTCTTCGCCACTGATCGGCTCGTTAGCCGCTTGAGCGATCGGTCACGTCTCTGTTATGCACTGTTGGCAAGTACTGGGCATGCACCGGCTCCTGAATGTACCTGTTCCTGCTCCAGTGTTGGTCAAGTCTGGTCTTGAAAGAGCTCACACTCGATGCCGTCACAACAGTATCTGGTAGATCGTTCCAAGAGTTCACAACTCTCACTCTGAAAAAGTTTGCCCTCACAGTTTTCTGGACTTGTGGCTTCTTCAATCTTGAGCTGTGACCCTTGTGGGACGAGCGTCCACCAGCTCCAAGTAAAGACACTCGACTGAGTATTGCCCCTTGAGATGCTTATACACCTCAATTAGGTCGCCCCTTGCCCGTCTGTAGTATAAGCTAGGCAAGTTCAGGCGCTCCAATCTCTCAGGGCAGTTGAGGTCCCGAAGTGCAGGCACCAGTCTGGTGGCCCTCCTTTGAACATTTTCAACCAACTGACAGTCCCTAGCATATCTCGGGGACCAGATTTACCTGACCCACCTTCTTCTTGCAATGGCCCGAGAACTTCAGCTCATTGTCAACATACACACCTAGGTCCTTCTCACATTCAGTCTCAAATAGTGCAGTTTCTTCATCCCGTTGGGACATATGATACGCCTCCTTACCGTTGGTACGCCCCATTGAATCTCAGCAGCCATTTCTTCGACCTTTTCTGGAGCTCACAGAGATCCTTCTGCAGCTCTTCGCAGTCCGCTTGGTTCTTGATTTCCCGAAATAACTTGGCGTCATCGGCAAACATTTGTATGGAGGAGTGTACAATGTCAGGCATGTCATTTATGAAACAAACAACAGTGGGCCCAACACACTGCCCTGTGGTACCCCGCTTGTGACAGGTACGGATGATGATTTCGTGCTATTTGTATGTACTGTAATCCTTCGTCTAATCGGTACCTGTGCCCTGTTGGGCTAATCCCCGTAAAAAAAAGTACTTGGTTTCTTGTTCTTCCAGTGTGTGTCTAATCTCTCAAGTTTTCCCCCAGACGTCACAAATGTTGTAATCATGCCCTCTCAGACTACTAACTTGGCGTGGTTGCCCATATCTAGGCATTTTCAATCATCGAACAATCTCCAGCAGTCTGGTATAACTCGGGGACAAGACAGGGGACTACTCCAAACAGTGAAACACTTCGCTTCTGAGGAGCGTTATGAGGGTCGCTCTTCTTATAAGACCTACTGGCTTAGCTGCTTGATTTGCCTTCTCCTAATGGTCCGAGAAATTTAGCTCGTGGTCAGCATGCACACCCAGCCCCGGGTCTTTTTTACATGTGGTTTCATAATTTGCATCATTCCGTTGGGACATGATACGCCTCCTGACTGGAAATGCATCCTTTAGCATTTTGTCACTGTGCTGTTGAATCTTAACAGACATTCCTATGACCACTCATGTAGCTGACAAATATCGTCTTGTAGCTGTTCACAGTCAGTACGGTTCTTTTAATTTTCCTGAATAGTTTAGCGTTACCTGCAAACATGTCTGGAGGAGTGTAAATACTGTAGCATCTGACACCTTGTTTTTCCTTTTATCTTCTTCGCCACTATATATCATTTAGTTATAGCTCTAAGTTTTCTGATCCTGTGTATGCACTTATTTTTCTATCTGCTAAATTTTTTAGTTGTAAGTAAAATGTCCAAAACTATAGATAAATAAAAAAATTCTATCCCGTTGAGAGAGTGGAAAGTGTTACCATCGTCGCCATAACAACAACAGATAACACTTGACGCTTCTCTTCATTGCTGGTCCAAAAGTGCGTATTAAACGACACTTAAGTTGTTTAAATAATAGTTTACGAAATGGTTACAACAAAACTAGCTATTGTACGTATTTATTTTAATGAAATACTTAAATTTGTTTTCTTATCGGGGAAATAATAAGCATCCCGTGTTTATCGTTATGTTTTATCAGTCATAGTATTTATTCATAATTTTCCTGTCAGTGTAACTTAATTTACCGTAAGCCCCACATTTATAAGGCGTCTAAACCTCCTAGTGTCTGCAGAAAGTGTCCATATGCTGTGCAACATTCAACAGCCTTCACCTCGTATTGAAATTATTGTCCCTTTTCATCAGGTCTCTGAGATTATTAAGAGCTGTTTTTGTGGTAATACCTAAGAACAGTATACTATGTTAACCAGGAGCTAAAGATAAATGCTTCCTTACTATCTAATGTACAGTAATAGTTTGAAAATCATTGGTGAAATAGGCCTCCAGAACAAATGAAATAGCCAAACCAAAGCTGCTTTAGAATTAGTAGGTTACAACTTCGGTGGTCTTTGGTTCTTATGGTGTGCTTCATAGATAGTTTTTAAATTATTATTCTCTCAATACCAATTTTGCAATCTATCCATTAAAAATGAACTCACCGGTGAAGATCCTGTCAAAAAATATCATGAAATTAAATGGTAGAACGAAAATAAATCTTTACCTTAAAATTTGGTCTTATACAGTATGAGTATTTATGTGTCTTAATTTTCAGAAGCCATCATGAAGACATCTCGCTTCTTCATGTTGTTCTTGGCGCTGTGGGTGTGTACATCAGCTGAGGGTGATGTGGATTTTGTTGACACTGACTCTGATGAAGATACTGAGGTTGCTTTGAAGTGTGATGCTTGCAGAATAGTAGCCTCCAAGGTAAGTTTGTTTAATTAGTATTTGATATGACTTTCCTTTAGTTTTTCTTAGAGAATACAAAGTTCTTAGATATTCGTAAAAGTGAATTAATTAATGCCGAGAGCCAAATGTTTTTAGGCCCCAGATTTAAATACTGTACTGTACAGTACTTGGCCTGTAAAGCTGTTCACCTAAAATCTGAAATAACTTCAGTGATGACCCCAGAATCTGATCCCTTGCTTTTAATGTGTTTTTTACCTTAAAATTCTTTCACTTGGAAAATTTCAACTAGATCTTTTTCTTTGTTATTTTTCAGAACCTTTACATATGGTATTAATTTACAGTTTGTGGAAGCATTTGCTGATATCCAGGGAAATATCAATCCTACTGTGTCTCCTAAAGATGAAGAAATAATAGAAGCTGCAGAGGGTACTTGTGATGACACATGGGAAGGGTGAGTTTTAGACTGTGAAAATTATCCCATTAGAAAGGACTTACTCTATTGACATTTTTTTAAATCTATTTCCCTTAATCACCCAAGGTGGTTGGAATCAAGAGCAACAATTGCTTGTAAAAATTTATCCAGTGATTTTTTTTATTAATTATATCCTTTCAGCAGAATCAGTGCTTTTATTGAAATTTTTCCACTTCTCATTCATTTTCAGGCAAATAAAAGTGATGAGCAGCTTTTCCTTTTTTGTTTTGATCATGTTGAAACTTGAAAGAAAAATACTGTGATTCTGAGAGTCTAGAAGTCCATTTCTTCATTAGTAAAGACAGAGGTTATATTTGACCAAGTTAGTGATATCTGTAAACTCTGTACTGTATGTATAGTACTGTATATAGATGTGGGTGAGTCACATGTCTTACACCAAACACTCTCCCCTATAATTTCTTTCTTTATAATGCGACTTCATGATCAGCCCAACTCCCTGCGTCAGTCCTATCCCTTAAAAATGGGTCTGATAAGCCTAGGTTGTTCATGAAGACTGGGAGCTAACTGTGCATACACTTTCTGTTTTTCACTTGTCTGGCCTGGACATAGATTAGGAAAGTTGAATCAGTCCCTACAACCAGTTACAACACTTTAAGAGCACCTGTCTCTGGCTTCACTCATTTTAGGACAATTTAAGTGCATATGGCCTATTGTTTATGTACACTGGGATATTTCTGCTCTGGATTATGCCACTGGGTGTTGTGTAAAGTTAAAAGTTATTTCTTTTCATTTTAAAAGTGTTTATATTTACTAACAATATGGCTAGGTGGTAGTGGATGTGGTAAAGATACCTTCCTTTAGGTGACTTCCCCTGCACCAGACACCAGTTCAATCTTTGAATAAAGCCCCTTAGGGGGATCCTGCTTGAAGTGGCAGGATTATACAGGAGGGACCTCACTGACCTCCCAAGCTGCCTTCTGTGCTGAACAATTGCAGACCATCAGCAATCCTCTAACTGCACATGCACTGCAGGTAATACAAAGCTCCCTTTCTATCTTTCTTTAACCTTTCCCATCAGTTTCCATCACAAGGTATATTTTTTCTTACGACTTACACACAAGGTTTATATAGCTACTATCCCTTCCAAACAAAAAGAGCAAATCCATGGGAGCAGAAGCCCACAGACAAACCTCTGCAGTATTAACCTGTTGATAACGTGAAGAAGTTTGGAAAGTTACATGCAAGCAGCCAGGTCTATTGTGAGAAAGTTGGAAAGTTATTTACAATGGATGCCTCCCAGAAAGGTGGCAGTCTCATTTCAGTAGACTCCGTGATTCTGCCATTTCTTCAAGCTTAGATCACATGTGATAGTTGGGAGTCTTCCTCTCTGACAAAGAGCAAGTTCAAAATCTTTAATACTTCCATGGCGATCGATCACTTAAAATTTTTGATTGACCCTCAGATGATGTATTTTTGGGATTGTAAAAAAAAAAAAAAATATTTGATGGTTTGACTTCAGGCTATGTCAAACCACATACTCTGCCCCCCTCCCCCCCCAAAAATAAAATTCGCTACAAGACCATTGCTACAAGGTTATATTCAGGCGACAATTAGCACCATTTTTTTTTCATTCTGCTGGCTTATTTAAATAGTGTACTATGCTTATTGGCTGTAGTCACCATGATATGAACAACAAAGTACA